CTACAAATGTCGTATAAAGGAAGAAATAGGAAAATCGGCCAGTATCTCTTAGAGCTATGGGCGTATAAACGCAAAATAGTCACTATAGCAAATTTGATCACGTTTAACCTCATTTGATCTTGAATATATTGATCTAGGACCATGAAATTGGCACACGATAATGTTCCCCGCCTACAATTCAAATTCCGTTTTTTTTTAAATACCTTTTTTGGCTAAACCGGGCTTTTCTCCCTTAGCGCTGGGAGAGTCAGGCGTATTTCCTTTTTGCAACCAAAGAGAGGCGCTGCCCGGAGAATGCCCAATTTCATCATTAATAACTGGCTTACGATGACCAGCTATCTTCGTGGCTTAGTAGTAAGTGTGCCGAGTGTACCCACCTCGAAATCTAAAGGTCGCTGGCTCGCAGCGGGTCAGCCTGAAGTGTTAAACACGCATTTGTTTTTTAAGTAGCATCTGGCCAGCCGGCAACGTCGTGAGGGCTAATGTTCGTATCTAGGTAGCATTTGGCCAGTCGGCAACTGCCGTGAGGGCTGTACATATTTACGCGTGTTAGATTAGGTCAGGTCACGTCAGGTCAGGTTGGGTTTGCTTTGGTTTGGGGTAGAAAGAAGCATCTACGGGTAGCGCCTCTCCTAAGTTGCTAAAACGAAACACGCGAGTGCCAGACATTCCGAAGTCCAAAAGACAGTTACGTAGACGTCGGCCCATTCTGGATTTTTTATATGATGTAGCTAATTTAAAGGAGAATAAAATATGTAAAAATCAGCAAAATCGAAGGATACCCATTTTTCAGAAAATCAAAATTTATTTTTTGAATTTTAATTAAGTTCACTAATTAGTTAATTACGTCAATATTGTTATCCTCAAATTAAAGCCTGACCTATTCCCTCCATTTCACACTTTGTTTCGTGGTGATATGTCTAAAACTTCAATGGTTATGACGCTCTAAAGATGATAATGTGCCTTGCCTAAGTCAATGTTTGATGACGTTTATCTCGGAAACGTGACGTCATATCTTGACAAAAATATGTCTCCATTCTTTTCACATATAGATAAGTAGTTTCACAAAGTTCCGCAAAAATCGGAGGAGGTGAGGTTCAAAATGATCATTTTTTGTCCCACTTGACGTGGAATGCCCCTGGGATAGTTGCGTCAGTGACCTGCGCTACCTGACCAGTGCCTGACATAAAATCGGCTCGTAGCATCATAATCGCAGAAGTGATGAGATACACTCTGAGAAACCCTGTGGCATTAGCCCACCTGATAGAATGCCACGACCTGAATCGTCGGAATTACTAACACCCACACCTAAACTACACCGACTGCACATCGTTTACACGGATCAGCACGGCCGGGATTGCCGGAACGGCGGCCAGCGGACGCGGCGAGCTGTATTTTAACCGGGCTCGACGCCGCACGGGCGCCCCGACGTGCCCTGGTCGTCGTAACGGTCAGCGCGTCTCCGGCGACGACCGACCGAGCGTATCAAACAGCAGCATAAAGGAAACGGGCGCCGTCGCCGGGGCGGTCCGACAAACTGCCGGCGGCCGGCGGTCGGCGAGGGAAGCCTAGGGAGGCAGCTGGGGTGGTCTCACATTTCCTTACAGAGGTCAACGGAGGATAAAAGTAAAACTGCATTAGATTTTCCGTGATTAATTGATTGTATGCTAGCGTTACTATTATGATTGTCTGAAATTTATAAAACCGTATGCCTCACGCCAAGATGCCTGGACGAATGCATGATCTTTTCTGAAGGAAGGGTAGTTCTAAGTCCGTAAATAACTACCCTCGCGAACAAGTAGCCAGTGAACCACGAAATCCGCCTAAGTCGCTCCTCTCATGTGTGAAATAATTAGCAGCTGATTCTATTTAAGACCATTCTTTGCATTAAACTTTCAGTACGAAAGCCTTCTATTTATATCAGATTTAAAACTCTCAAAATAGCCACGTTGTCATTAGTAGGTAAAGCAGGCCGCTATGTTGGCATTGGCTAGGCTGGCATACATAGCCGGCAGCGTTAGCGCCAGCGCCGTGCATAGCCCCTCGACGCCGCGATGCAGAGCTTAGAACAGCGGCGCGCCGATCCGAGTTGTTAGTCGTCCCGTTTCATATTCCCAGATTTACAGTTCCATAAATCAGGCCAGATTCTCACAACGGCTAATCAGCGTCCGAGGAGCTCCAGGTTCGGGCTGGGACTGCGGGCCGCCGCGCCCGTCTGAGCTGACGTCATAGGACCATTACCGACAGCGGCAGCACACCGACCGCCCAGTCCGCCCCGTCTGACACCCGCGCCGCTCGTACTTACAGACGACGCAACACAGCACTCATAGTTGAGCTGGGTCGCACATTTCCTGCTGAATATGAGTCTGCGGCACTTTCATGGTATTTGTCTGGTCGGATGGAGCTTATCCTAGTGGATCTGCGGAGATGAGCCAGTTCCGAGTGACGAACTTTGCTCGGCTGGCAAACACTCACACACAACTCTCTGCTCTGAATTCTGGCAGCTGCTGGAAATTAATGGCCACCTTAGTACCGAAAACGGAAACAACAGCCCCATCCAGTTCTAAGCATCTAATCAACTTTCAAACAGAGTAGACGGAATTATACGAAGCTTATAACATGGTCGCTTCTAGCAAGGCTCAGTGGCAGATTTGATAGAAATTATAAAAGAGCGTACCTAGTAGATACTGCAAATGATATTGATTGCCTTTACCCTGCGCTTGATAACTATGCCATCGGCCATTTAAAATTTAAAAGCAATAAAATGTCATATTTACAACAATACCCAAAGATAAATCAGTGCGAGACATTTCCGTAACTTATTACAAACAATCTCTCGTCAAGTACTGCGCACTATATCAGTAGGTACCAGCCCCGACCATTTCAAACATTTCAGCCCCGGTCCGTCCCTCTCAGCCCCCCCCCCCCCCCCCAACCACCGCCGTCTCCTCGCCACGTCCGCGGGCCAGACGTGGCGCGTCTCTAATGCCGCAATCAGATCGTCATCGAGCGCCACATTCGGCGCGCTGCACTCGAATGGTGATTAGCATTGGGCGGCGGGCGGCCTGTTTTGAAGCGGCTCCGGCTGTGGCGGGGGAGGCGGGGGGGGGGGGGGGGGGGCGTGCCCGCGGCACTCGTCCGAGGGCGTCACGTGACCAATTAGCCGCGGCAGAGGCGGTAAATGACGGCCGAACGGCTGTGGTTGTCGGCCGAACAGACAGCCCGCTCGGCCGTGGCCGACGCGCAGAGATAAACAGAGCGGCGGTCGGCACTGCGGGAGGCTCGGCGATCAAACGGCCGGCGCTTATCGACTGCGGATGCACTGAAAACTTTTTTACCATTTCCTGAAGGGTAAACCCGCCATAGCATGGTAGCTTGACACACAGACGTTTTTTACCACCTTCCAGATGGTAAATTTTACTCTTTCATGAAGAGTAAACTCGCCAGGGAGGGGTAACATGACACACAGACGTTTTTTACCATCTTCTGAATGGTAAACTCTTTTGATTTACTCTTGTCTAGAGTGTAACATTTTTTGGGTTACACTCTTTGAAAGGGTAAATCTTAAACGGGACCCTTTTCTAGGGAGTAACGCATCATCTACTCTGTGCTTTACCCTCCTACAGAGAGTATTATCTTCTGGCCTACCCTTTGTCACATGGTAATGTTTACTCTTTCCTTTAGTGTAAACCCCCCAGAGGATGGTAACAGACTCACAGACGCTTGCTTCAGAAGCTTCACGAAGCTTCTGTTAACCGGAGCTCACCAACTAAAAAAACATGCTTCAAGAGCAACAATGTATATTTGGCTTCCGTACAAACAATACGAGGGGCACACCAGCCATGAACATTGTGAGACTCTTCACTTATGCACACGAATTTATACGAAGCGTTCAGCAATGCACAAGCGGTAAATAAACACCACGATACAACTTGAATGCACTTTGAATGTGAATACAAGACATTCAGCGCCCTCATATTGGATAAGGCACAGCGCACAATATTTGAAGAGAGCGACGGCGTTCCTGGGTCTCTGCGTCTGCGACGGCGTTCCTGGGCCCGTCTGCGTGAGATAATGAGACTGGATCACTACAGTGCAAGGCTTTTTCGAAGTCACCAACAAAATGCATAAGCTTGTAGCATCACAACAAAATTAATGTACGTACTCACAACCTAGGCCACGTGGCCGTGCACGGGGTCCTGTTAACCAGGTCAAATTAGCACCACTCAACGGCATGCAATGCTCTAGCACATCGGTACTTACAATAAAATGTCCATGCAGAGGCTCTATAGGCGATGAACAACACGCAAGCACAATCACCAACGGCCACGCCGCGCGGCACCGACACTGCTCACATCCGCTCTCGGAGACCAACGGCCGAAAACTGACAGATGCGCGCGGCCTTCAAACCGCAAACGGCCGATCTCGTTTCTGATTGGCTGAGTGATTCCATTTCAAATATCATCTTCACGAGGGTAAACAAGATCCACGCATGAAACGACTATCTGTACACGAGTCACGATACCCAGAAAGAAAGAGTTTTCGTGATGTTCTGGATCGCGAGAGTAATATTGATATTTACATGGTAATAATACTCTTCGCTGGCGAATAAGTTCATATTAACCACGTACCGTTACTATGCACATAATGGTAGCAAAGAGTTACCCTTTCAATATACTCTTATCTTGCTGGTTTGATGAAAATGAACCCTCCAGGAGGTAGTAAAAAAGTTTTGAGTGTGGTTATTCTGCATACACACCGGAAAGTATAGTAAATGCCCTGCATCTATGGTTGCAAATAGTATCACTCTTTTACCACCCCGTCTCAGCGAGCCGGTGTATGACGGATGCGTAGCGATAGTGGAGTAGGGAACGGCGACAGAGGTCTTGTGTTACCAGTGATCCAGACATGACAGAACACCCCGCCCCCACCCCTGTGTCCCCAATGAACCGGGATATTACTGAGCTGAGTGCTGACAGACTACTCCGCTTTGTTCCCAGTGAGCCGTGTGCTGTGTGACGAGAGCGAGTACCGGCTGACGCAGTACCTGATGTCCAACTACGACCCGTCAGTGCGACCGGCGCGCAACTCGGCGGAGCCACTCGAGGTCAACTTCAGCCTCTCTCTGCACCACATCATTGACGTGGTAAGGATCGCGGAGGACACGCGGGCCCTACCGCCCGGACCTGTGCGTGGCAGAGGTCGGGCAGGTATGATCTGCTCAGACAGTCGTGAGTGAAACAGCGGTCACACTCGACATGTCGTGCGTGGACCACTGTTGCAGCCTGTAAGCTTGTATCGCTACTTGGACTGGCCGCCTGTCGGCCGTCCGGTCCACTGCGAACCACTGGCCCAACACTGAAAACGCCATTTCTCCGTTCCGCTGCGCTTGCAAATGCATGACTGATGAATATGGGTCTGTGTATTCGTACGTTTGTACACCCGTCATGCACTTTGGGTGCAGATTACGCTTACACAGCCAGCAATGCATGGAAACACAGTACCACAGGCGGCGGCGGGGTGGCGGTGGACAATCGGAAAGACAAGAACGCTGAACAATGTGTAGGATCAGTGTTCGCGGCACGGCGTGGGCGCACAGACTGAGCCAACAGTGTTGGAGCCACACGGCAGGTGTCGCTGCAGTGGCGCCCGCGGACAGAGAAAGTTTTTGCCGCACGACCCCGTAGGTGTCGCTCGTCAAATGCATTTCTCCGTTCCGCTGCGCTTGCAAATGCATGACTGATGAATATGGGTCTGTGTATTCGTACGTTTGTACACCCGTCATGCACTTTGGGTGCAGATTACGCCCAACACCCCATCTGCACCCGCGCGGAACGGAGAGGCATTCGCTATGAACAAAATTGCCAGGGCGGCAGAAAGCTAATGGAAAACGATGGATGCCTCTGGATTAACAGACGTGGCGATAACGCGACGGCAGAGGACATGACATGCCGCGCACGGCGTAATTCACCTCACGCGACGCACAAACATGGCACCGTCGGCGGTGCGGCTGTGGCGTAGAAACTGCAGTTGCATCTGGGTTATGGCTGTGCGGGCGAGCTAAACCAACAATGAACACGCGAGCCCGACGTTACATATATACAGATACATCACTGTGGCGCGCAGCCGTCGGGAGTTGGGACTGCCGCTCCGCCGGCGAGGGCGGCGGTCCCAGAGCCCGGACCTGAAACAGGCAGCTGACAGACTACCGCTCCGCCCGTGAGGCGGGGGTCCGGGGGCCCGGACCTAAAACAGGCAGCTGACAAGACTGCCGCTCGCCCGTGAAGGCGGCGGTCCGGGATCCCGGACCGAAAACAGGCAGGTGGCCAAGGACGCCGCCGCTCCGCCTGCGAGGGCGGCGGTTTGGGAGCCCGGGCCTGAACAGGCAGCGTCGGGACTGCCGCTACGCCTGCTAGGGCGCGGCCCGTGCACCCAGACCTAGAACGGGCAGCTGTGGCTCGGGTTTGGGAGCGGTAGCGGTGGAAGGCCGGCAACGTTAACCCTCTTTGGACGGGACCCGCCGCTTAGGATGCCTGAAGGAGGGAGACCGGCCGCCGTACGTATCGCCGCACGGCCTGGGACGACCAGCGGCCGGCGTGGCAGAGTTGAGGCTCCGTTAGTCCGACTGCGGCGCCGTGGGAGGCGCCGCTGATGCGAAGGCAGTGCCCGGAGAGGCGGGCTGGGTTGAGACCAGCTCGACGGCCCGCCATGCGAAGTACGCGAGTGAGATCGCGCGATGTCAGAGGGCGGCGATGGCCGCCGATAAACAGTGCGTCATCAGGAAGGCCCGTGCCGCGGACCGCGAGGTAGTCGCGGACAGCGGCGACCGGACACGTGGCAAGATCAGGCCGGGCTCGAAGCGTGGTGGTGAACGGGGAGGCCGACGTTTTTGAGGATGGAATGGTGAGAGAAAGCTGGGGGCCGACGAGACTCACGTGGCTGAGTCGGACTGTGTGGGTCAGGTCTCGGCCGCGCACGACCTCGCCCGGGCGAAGCATAGCAAAGAAAGCCAATGTAAAGATGGCACGGAATGCAGCACGGTCTACCGGGGAGAGGCCTAGGAAATGGAGTGCGGCGCAGAGCTCGCCGAGCTCGGTCAGGGAGACGGCGAGGCGGTTGTCCGCACTCGGCCGTAGCCGGCGGGATCCCGCTAACAGCTGTCGCACCCGGAAGTCCGCCGTGGGATCCGGCGCGCCGGCTAGCTTGTGGCCGTAGGAGATGGCAGACGCCTCGGCGGCGAGGGTGGAAGCGGAACAGCCCTGCTCGTGTCGAGAGGCCAGGAAATCAGCAGTGTCGGCCACTGAGATGGGAAACAGGGCAGCAGTGGGCGGCAGAGTGAGGAAAACGCGGATTTGGCCCCACACTGCTCGATAAGAGCGAATGGTGGCAGGAGCTAGCGCGGCACCAGCTAGCTGGTGAACGGTGAGAGCGTGCCGCAGGCCGGCCAGTCCCAGGACGTCGGCGTGGCTGCTGCGGACGGGCGGAGCTCCTTGAAGACCTGCACAAGACCGCGGGACAGGGCGTCAGCTGCTGCATTGGCGATGCCGGGTGTGTGCACGGCACGCACGAGAATGTTATGAGAGACGGTGGTGAGAAAAAGGAATCGGAGCCATGGCATTAGGGCAGGCGAGCGAGATGACTGAGAGGTTATACAGGCCACCACAGCGGAGTTATCTGAGCGCACAAGGACGCAGCGATGCGCGAACCGATCTCGCCACACGTGCACGGCTACAGCGACAGCCACTAGTTCCAAAACGCTGATAGGGGCCTCGCGGAGGGACGCGGGCCACGGCCCCAGGAGCCGGTGCACAGAGACATTAGGTCATGCGCGTGGACAGGGCGATGAATACAACAAGATACGAGGCTAGCAGTCTGGTGGCAGCATAAGACGTAACTCCCTGAATTGCGGCACGAGCGTAACTGCGTATACGGTCGCCGGCGCAAACGCGCTATGGCCGACGACGCGATCGCGGGCCGCGGCGCGCCCCTGCGGCCGTAGGGGACACCACAGTTGTCGGTGGTGCAGGAACCTGCGGCAAGGGCCCTAGAGGCAATGATAGAAAAAAAATATAAAACAGCCAGCGACTGGTACTTTGGTCTGGCAGTTCCTAACTGAGAGCCGGCTGCCAGTGCCGCGAGCCCACTGGGCGAACATAAAAATACGACACCACGGCCCAGCCAGGCCATCTCGGCGTAATGCACCCACCACGTGGGGAGAACTCACCAGATGTGGTCCAACTACAATCGGAACGCTGAACAATGTGTAGGATCAGTGTTCGCGGCACGGCGTGGGCGCACAGACTGAGCCAACAGTGTTGGAGCCACACGGCAGGTGTCGCTGCAGTGGCGCCCGCGGACAGAGAAAGTTTTTGCCGCACGACCCCGTAGGTGTCGCTCGTCAAATGCATTTATCAACGGACCACTTGGAGCTGAGGTACACTTGGATGTATTGCCGTTCAGCGCCCTGAAGAGAGATTGATTACTGCTCCACTGTTTGTCATGCCACTGCCGCGGCGACCACTTCCTGAGTCCGGCGACACCAGCGGAACAGGCATGTGCTCTGCTTCACAAAAAGGCCATGAATACGTGTCTTCTTGGTATTCGAGTAATAAAAATCGGGGAGAATGAATTTGTTCACGCACAATAGACGGCGGCGGGGGCTTTATCTCGTCCACTGTGGCGCTGACAGCGGATAAGATAAATGGCTCCGGCAAGTGATAATGGCAGCAGGGGCGAGAATGGTGGTCAGGCCCCCGACGCCCCTGCGATGGATCGCCCGTGTTGCTCGTTGCCGGAGGCGGTAAAAAGCGTCAAAATAATCATTTCAATTTTCATAGTCACTGTAAGCCTCAAGTATCCTTGATTATTTTTATTATAGGAGTTTATCCGGCCCCTCTAGATTAAACAGCACACAACCGATGCTTAACAATGTTCTGGAACACTGACGGTTGTGGCCGCGGAATTCGGTCAAAGCACAGACTCAGAGGCTGTCGTTCGGGTCCGTTCCTCTGAGAGGTAGACTGACCCGCAATGCGCCGGTGTTCTGCGGTACAGTCTACCTACACAGTGGGTTTCTCAGTGCCCGGTTTGAAACTCTGTAACCGGCGGCGCTGTGCTGTCTTGCATCAAATTCCTTTGTAAAAAGAAATAAGACATGTGTTACGCATTATTCAGTGCCGCATGACTTATAAGCGTCGCTTCTTTTTTAGGACGAGAGAAACCAGATTCTGACGACCAACTGCTGGCTGACCCACGTTTGGACCGACTACCATCTCACGTGGAACACCTCCGACTTCGGCGGGGTCCAGAAAATACGCGTGCCTTACTTCCGCGTGTGGAAACCTGACATCATTCTCTACAACAAGTAAGTGTGCCGATGAGCAGCGTTTGACATTCTGAGCAACCTTTTGCTGTCAATAACGCCGATGCCTGCGCTCTCCATGCAGCATGCTCCAGTATTCAATACACTGCTACTATGATCTCACGTTTCGACACCTAAGAAAGCATGATCATCCCGCGATGAGGATTGTTGACAGATACATAAAACCAATGCCACAAAATGAAACAATTAGCAGCAAAGGCATTGTAAAGCATTTGGGCTACTATCGTATAGCATTAAAGATAATGCACCAGGAAAGTTGCGAGGCCACGCGGTGTGTTGTATAAGTAAAACAAGTTTTCCGCTCACAGTCTCACAGTAAGTACTGCGCACTTGGCATTCTAGAGAGCGTAACTTCGTTAGCACTCTGGTCATCTATTGGATTCTTTCATAGTGCGCATTGCAACAAGCAATCTATATCGCATCAGAAATACTTTTTAGCCTTTTTGTTACAGGCGTTTTTTATTTATTTATTTATTTATTTATCTATTTATTTATTTATTTATTCAGGAGCTTGTTTTGTTCGTGAATTGTTAAGATTCATGGACATGCTTAAATACATACTTAAATGCATGTAACAGTGAAGAACGGATTGAAGTTAAACCGCACGAAGTCAAAATCGGCAAACTTCTCTTATGTAGAATATTGGTGCTTCTAGTCACCGGACCGATTAGGAAAGCGCAGATGAAGGTAGCACCCCCACTTACGATACTTATCTTGCCAACAACTGGTGGGAATATAAAGGAAATATCTTATGAGCCTTTACTACCCAGTCCTTGCCAACCACATAGATAACTTTTCGGCAGACCAAATCCTGATTTACAATTTATAGCCAACGCTTTTTATAGCACCTATGTACCTCCCTCACTCACAAGCAACACTGCAGATTCTGTTTAGTACCACTAAAATGCGTGTAACCCGCCTTGTGTTGCCGACTGATCCGGCAGCGCGGGCCCGCCGCTGCGGCACCGTCAGGACGTGCAGACGGACACGTGTACCCGAGACCTGTACGCGCCAGATAACCCATTAGCAGCCAACTGCAGGAGGTCGGTCCCCGACTGTGTCGTCTCGTCCTACTGGGGTTCTCGCTCGGCGCCTACGCTACTGACTGCTGTGTCGCGGATCGTAGAGCACACCCATCCAGCGCTTTTTGACTAAACCACTCTATATCCCTGGTTTCAGTGTTGTGATTTGTACAGTCGCCCGCAATAACATCTTGCTAATAAGTTCGCTGAATCTATAACAACTTTGCTGCTTGCATTTTACTGTTTGAACTGAAGAGGCGCAAACAAATCGAAGTAAATTCACTTTCCCGTTTCGAGCGCATTGCTGAACGTCTATAGCCCAAAATATTTGATCTTCGCATCAGACTTGCAGATTAAATTACAACTGCTCATGTAGTCGCGCATCCTGATGCGTTATGTAAATTTCACAAACACAAAACACCAGACGCCAAACGACATTACTTACTTCAGACATTTTATGACAATGCTAACTACTCAACGGAGTAGTATATAATAAGTTTCTTTCTTTCTTTTTACTTTGCTCCTCTTCCAACGTTCGTGCCCGTCTTTGGACGGGGAGTGGCGCTCGGAGACGGCACATGGCTGCAAAGTTATGACCGTTAGCATTATCAAAATTTGATTCTTCACAAACAGGAGCCATAAAAACTTGCACATCTACGGCTGTCTCTCTGAAGCCTTGAGGTTTACCAATCAAGTCATGTACAAAATATGATTGTGTTCGTAGTCATATATACATATTATGTAGCACCTTTCACATTGAAGGTCTTTCGAAAAGTGCGTTATGCTATAGAACGCAAGCAGTACTGTATAAGTGTATACTGTATATCCATAAGGCGGTCTACGGTTACGACAACTACACGAAAGCAACTGTCACATTAAAAACAAAGAAGTGATTTCGGCTTTACCTCAACTAATTACATAATCGTACGTTTGTAGACATCTGAGCGCCACACAACGTGTGAAAAGTAGATGGGACACTGAGCGAAAACATCTGCACATATTTGTCCGCAGCAGAGGTGCATCATATCTGGCTGATATATTGCAGCGATTCCTCTGCCTTAACGGGGTGATTTCCCGCAGAGATATCCTACCCATCAATAGCAGTCCCTTCTCTTCAAACTTCCATCTGCCCAACTGTCGCCGAAAGCTGAAGAAATCATTCGTTGAAGCTGCGCTGCAAGTTTAAGTTTTAACAATTATTCTGAAACACGCCTCCTTTGATCGAAAAAAAATCAACGAAGCGTCACCGGCCGTAGAGATCGGTTAATCTTATTAAGAACTTACTAGAAAACATTCACTAAATAATGCATGGTTTGTTCCTTCCTTGCCTGTTTTGCAGTGTGTTGGATGCAGAAAGAAAACATTCGTAACACCGAACTGCGCTGGATACCTATACCAGGCACAGAAACGTTTGACTTGTGGGAACACCATTCCGTCCATGTTACACAGACGAATCAATTCGAAGTGTCAAAGCAATTCTCATCTGAAATAGGCTAAAAACAAACTTCAGTGCTTGTGAATTTAACTTTGCACCAAATATTTCCGGCATTGCAGCTATATTCTATTTGCAATGCATCTCCTCATCATGCCAAACATTTAGTCGGCAGAGCACACCGCTAGACTGTCACCTTCCAACATCTCTGGACAGTTGTTAACAACTCCCAGACCGAACTAACACTCCCTGTCCTCTCCCGACGACCGTCAGCGCCGACTCGCAGTACAGCACGGCCGTCATCAACACGAACGTCATCGTCAACAGCAACGGCCAGGTGACGTGGCTGTCGCACGGCATCTACCAGTCGTCGTGTGACATGGACGTCGAGTACTTCCCCTTCGACATCCAGAGCTGCGAGATGAAGTGGGCCAGCTGGACCTACGATGGATACACGGTGCGTGACCATCCGGCTACCAACGACGTGGGTAGACCTGGGCTGTCCTCTGGGCTCTGATGTGTGAACACAGGATGGGAAAGGGTGAGGCGTGAGGTGATTTTAGTTAGTTATAATTTCAAAATGAGCGTTTGTTTCCTTGGGCTCCGATCGAACCATAAGCTTTGTAGAGCATTAGTTGATCTAAAAATACCCATCAACTTCATACAAATTATAATCGCCAATTTATATATGCTATGCGTCAGTCAAAGTTGAACATAAATAGAGAACCCTGACAAATGACATGTTCATAAAAATATATCCTGTAGTTTACAAATCGTACTGCTAAGACGAGTCTGACTCTGTAGTTTGACAGACGGGTGACAGGGTGGATCTCTGCTGATTTACTATGGTGTCGTAGATACCCATCGCGGCGACTCAGTGTCGAACTGGGGCGGTAAATTCGCCGCCTCAGGCTATAAATCCTGAGCGGATGAGCTTCCCTCATCAAATGTCGATCCTCACACGCGATAAAATCAGCCGAATGTGCGTCCGCGGTGTCAAACCATTGCGAAACAGTGCGTTACCCCACGCGAGCTTGAGTACCCCCAGAGAGCTCACAATTGGCTTTTGGATAACAAACTACAAAGATTTGAAATGTGATCCAATTACGATCTTCTCCATCATAAAGACGTTAGCACGAATCAATCATAGTTGTGTTGAATGAAGACAAGCCATAAACCATTGATTTGGTAGAATCAAACGTATGAGACCTCAAACACATAAAACCTTCATCAAAACGGCCTCCACCACCATCATTTCACTGTTCACCCGCACCGTACCTTCATCATTCGCCTTTCATTCCACATTCATCCACCTCCACTCCCAGGTGGACAAGCACCATCCACCTCCACGCCACCGTCGTACCACAGCGGACGCATCAGTCTCCCCTCCATTCCACCTCCACTACCAGGTGGACAAACAGCCTCCACCTCCACTCCGCAGACTCACCGCTCTCCACCTCCATTACCAGGTGGACATAATCAGCGAATCTCCGGACGGCGATCTCTCCAACTACCAGTCCAACGGCGAGTTCGACCTGGTCGACTTCAGCGCCAAGCGCAACGTGCAGAACTACAGCTGCTGTCCGGAGCCGTACCCGGACATCACGTACACGATCCGGCTGCGACGGCGGCCCATGTTTTACGTGTTCAACCTTATTCTGCCCTGCATACTCATCAACGGCATCGGTGAGTCCACGACACTACAACAGTCTGTGGGGACAGTATTAAAATCTCTCACCAGAGATAGAAGCATCCTTGAATAAGGTCAGCTTTTCGCTGTTTAAGTAGTACCTATTTATTCACAATTCCCCAGTCTGTGCGGGCCGTCAGCTAGTTTCACACTTTATGCACCGACCAACATCAGCCCGAACAAAGCCACAGCTTCTGAACTACACCATCGCGGGATTCAATCCTCTCCTCAGTCGTGGCTGAATCATTCATCTGGCCAGGAATCACACTGCATTCAGCTGCCCATCCATCGGGACACATCTCTCGGCGGTGTCTCAGGGAGCGTGGCGGGCCGGGTCCGGACCGGGCGGGTCCGCGGAGTGTGTGATGGATGCGCAGAGCAGCAGCGAGACGGGACGGGACGGCACGGACTCCCCCTCCCCCCACTGCCGCAGCCGCCTCAGGCGCTGACTAATGACGCAACTTGGAGCCGGCCGACTCGGGAACCGTCGCACAACTGTCGATAAAGGCGAGAAGCGACGATCATTTGCCTAATGAGTTAGCTGGCGCCGAGTGGTCTGTGGTGCGTTGGACTCGTAATGTGGGCCACTTGAGCCGGGAGGCCTCTGGCAGCAGATTGGGACAGTCGTTACAGCCCTAATATGGCGCAGAGCAGAGCGCATCAAACGGGCGGAACTATCGGATGGTCGTGAGCTCCCACTTTGTGGATTACCAAATGCCATTAGTGCAAAACGCATTCATAAGTCTAAAAGAATTATGTAACCTACATTATGAAAATCAGAACGTTTAACACAGTGCAAATTAAATTGTAAGATGCTTGGGTCGTGAAGCGCTATTCACTCTTTGAACCGCCGTAAATATTCCAGAGCAGGTAAAACAGTCAAGAGCACTAAAAACGTCCTGACGGAATTAGGCTTGCACCCTGTTGAGTCCTCCTCCTCCATCCGGAGGCAGCCTGTCATCTCCGCGTTGCCCCAGTCCAGCCGCCGGCAGTCGACGGTCGAGCGATCAGCCGGCGCGCGGGGACGCCGGCGGACGCTGACGGCTGACGGATGACGCGTCCCGTTCAGCCATTCTTATCGCCGTGCCGCGATCCGATGCGCGACGGATGGGACGCATAACTCTGCCAGTGGCCGGCGTCTGGTGCCGGTCTCAGTCGCCGGCATGCCGAGCCAGTGCAGTGGCCGGCGCGACAGGGTGACTCCAGCTGGCTGGTCACTGCTACTGTTACTGACCAACTGACCCACTGCACTGGGTAGAGGATAAGGCCGGGATATAGGGATGTGCGTTTGTTACCACAGCCAGCTGGCCCAGAAGTGTTCAAACACTTATTAGCCACATATTAATAGAGAGAACAAATAAGGCGTCATCGTTGAAGGTCACATCTAGGCAATACAAAGATGAATATGTTGAGGGCGTATGGTCGCTGTTGGCGGCTCCAGTGGGGCTGTCGCCATCAGCACGCCGGCCGGCCGGCGGGGCGTCAGCTGGAGAGCGGCGCCGCCGGCTGGGTAACCAATGAGCCCCTTCGCCGAGCCGCCGCCCCTATCGGAGCCGGACAGCTCGATCGAAACAGGCTGCTGCGGGGGCCCGATCGGTTCACAGGCCGCTCACACCAGCTGTATGACAATATGGCTCGGAGACGCCGATCGGCGACCGCCGCTCGTAAAGAGAGCTCTGGCCGAACGGCCGCCGGCGACTCGACGACTCAATGGCTCAGACGGCGCTAACGCCCGCTCGGGGGCCCGCTGGTCAGCCGATAGCCGCCATTGACCCGACTTTGAGAATTCATCTGCACCGCTGCAGCGCCAGCGCCAACCCGATCGCCTCTCAAACCACGCATTCACCACACAAGCCAGACTTGAGAGTTGTACGGACATCTGTTTAATTAGCTAACTCCAGTCACTGCGTACGGCGACTGACGCTGCCCCGCTGCCCCTTTCCGTGCCGTCGGCGGAGACTAACTCGCCCCGTTCCGTGCTGCTGAAGTGCTGACCCGCCCCGTTCTCCGTGCCTGCAGCACTGCTCGTGTTCTACGTGCCCTCCGAGTCGGGCGAGAAAGTGACGCTCGGCATCTCCGCCGTGCTCTCCATGACCGTGTTCCTGATGACCATCAGAGAGAGCCTGCCGCCCACCGAGAAGACGCCGCTCATCAGTGAGTCAGACGCCGCTGTCCGGCACCCATCCGTCCGACACAGACGGTATTAGGCAATATTGAGATGGGGGCAGCCAGGAAAGGGAAGTGGTTTGTCTTGTGCGCCATCATGCATACAGTTGGTTTCCTTCACGACGATTGACGAATCGTGTGTTTTTTTTTCTTCAAATAAAGCTCGCGTCATCAACATTCTGAAATGTGATATAATTATGCCTCAAATTCTTCGAATTTCAATATACAGATAACCAAAACATGATTCCTAGATGATCTTTGTGTAAGCGGTCTTATTTACCACAACTAGGCGGGCACCCGCATGCTGAGACTGATACGGGCTGGTGGCTGTTTCAGCTGATCAGATGTTTTGCACAGCTTGAGTTGTGCAAACAAATGCCTCGAAAATCGGTTCCTCTGAATACCTGCTGTTGGTCGGAATTCCTTCAGGTTTACGGTGAAAGCATGACGTTAAGCACCGATTACATTTCGTGCTAGCTTATGCTAGGTATCTTGTTGATGCTCAGTCGACCCATCTCAATTTTGAAACCAACTTATCAAACCTCTTTTACCCGGTTATTTCTTTGGCACGTCACATACTGGCTCTGATATGGTAATGATATATCCTTCTGGGAAACAAAGACTGTTTGGGGCACGCGACTTGCAGACTACGTGAATCAGGCTCTGTCAGTTCAGTTTCAGTTCATTGTATTTTTTTTTCCATATGTAAACAAGAACAACGAACAAAACAATAGAGGATTGGCGCAAAAGCAAAAAGCTTAAATCAAAGGCGCCTCTCCAATTAAGTTAAACAAAGAACACATGACCAAACCAAAGTATCAGAAAGCGTCGACCCCGCCCGAAACCCGCCGAGCCAAAAAAGCAGACAGTACCCGGCCCCAGGCGACGGACGACTCCAATCGGGCCAGCTTGCGTCATAGTGTCATGTTTTGTGTTTTGTAATGTAGTGTAGTGTTATGTAAGCAGTGTGTTGCATTAATATCAATGGTACTTAAATGCACTAACTTAACAGTTATGTTGTATTGATAAACCGATTTGTCTCTACAATAAATGTCTGAAGGTGATGGGTGATTTGTGTGCCTTGATGCTTGTTTAAGTCTTTTGCAAAGAGAAGGGTATCAAGTTTTAATTTTGCTGAGAAATTGTCAAAATTTGGAGTGATGATTCGAACTGCATTTATAAGTTTTACTCTTTGTGTATGGTAAAGTGGGCACCAGAGTATGAAGTGAGTTGTGTTCTCATCGTGATAACCGCAAGCACATACTGGGCTGGGTGTGTTGGGGTGTTGTATATTGAACAGGTGTGCCTTGAGAGTCGTCATGCCCACTCTCAATCGTGTGTGTAGTGTGTTACGCGTTTTGTTGCCGAAAGAAAAGAAAGTGGGTGGCTCTGGTGCCCCAAATCGCTGCCAGACTTGACGAGCAAAAGCGGAGCGGGATGAGGTGTTACGCAATGTGTCTGGGAGAGTATTCCAGAGTCTTATTGTCGAAGGAAAAAAGGCTCTATAGAAAGAAGTGAGATTGGTAGGGGGGAAAGTAAGAGATTGAGCATTGCGAAGTCTAAGTCCCGTGGCGTCTTGTCTGGTTTCTGTCAATATGTCTTTAATGTATGAAGGGAGAGGAGGATGATTGAAGTAAAGTCTGTGAAAGAATAGAAGCTTATGAATTAATCGTCTTGTCTCAAGTCGTTCCCATCCTAGTTCGGTAAGTAATGCGGTAGTTGGTGTTCGATAAAGCGTCCCTGTTACAAGTCTGGCACAGCGGTTCTGAAGCGTCTGGAGTCGGATGGCGTCAGTTGATGTCAAATGTCCGTCGTAAACAATATCACAATAGTCGAAATGAGGTGTTATATAGGTAGAGTAAATCTTGTTCAAGACTGGTCTAGGAAGAAGCTTAGCCACGGGATATATCGGTCCTAGGAGAATGTTAATTGTCCGAATGACGTTATTGATGTGTGCGCGAAAGTGAAGGTCCGTCGAGAGTGTCAGTCCGAGATGTTTATGACTTGTCACGGTCGGTATGTCCTGCCCGTCAAATGTGAGTGCTGGAGGACAGCTGTCTCGTCGGTTTGTAAATGTCTGTTGTAGTGTCTTTTTAGCGTTGAAGGTGATGGCCCAGTCAGTCCCATATCGTTTAATCTCGTCCAGGTCGTTCTGCAAGGAGCGTCTATGATCCTGACTGTCGTGGGGATGGGAAGAGTAAAGTGAAGTGTCGTCAGCGTAAAAGAGAGCGTCATTTTTGGTCTTGTTTGATAGATCGTTGAGGTAAATTAAGGCCAGAAGAGGTCCAAGCACCGAGCCCTGGGGGCAACCGGATAGTATTTTTTGGGATGATGATAGACTGTTTCCAACACGAACAACCTGTTTGCGATCTGTAAGGTAAGAGTTAAGCCAGGCTAGCAGAGAACCGGAAATATTGCACTCGATTTTGCATTTTAAAAGGAGTCCATCATGCCAAATTTTATCAAAATATTTCGAGATGTCAAGATAGATAGCTGTAAAGTTTTGACTTTTGTTTAGAGCAGAGTATAGCTGGTGAGTTAGATACAAGAGCTGAATTTGTGTGCTATGGCCCGGACGATATCCACTTTGTTTTTCTGAAAGTAAGTTGTTTCCATTCAAATGAGAATATATCTTGGAAAAAACGATTTTTTCGAGAATTTTAGAGAGATTGGGAAGTAGACTAATAGGACGATAGTTTGTTGGATCTGAGCTAGATCCCTTTTGCTTGAAGATTGGAGTGACACAGGCTTTTTTCCAAAGTGAGGGGAACCTTCCTAGTTGAAGTGATTTGTTAAAGAGTTTGGACAGAGGTTCAGCAAGTAAAAGTGCACACATTTTTAATAATTTGTTAGGAATTTTGTCCGGGCCTGTTGCCTTGTTGATGTCTAAGGAATTTAGAATTTTGAGAACTTCGGGCTCGGTGACTTGGACATCCGTTAGCGGAGGAATAGGGGGAACAGGAATAGGGATTTCAGGCATTTGCAAGTTGTGTGTGTCCAGTCGAGTCTGGGATGCAAAGTGGTCATTTAAGATTGTCGCTTTGTCAAAGTCGTCTGAGATTGGTATGCCGTCTTGATTTATAAGCGGTGGCATGCTACGATGAGTCCTTTTTCCGATAATACTGTTTAAAATTTTGTAATATGATCGTGGGTCCTTTTTATGGTCAAGAAGTTTGTCAATTTGGTTTTGTATGTGTCTATTTTTAAGTCTTTGGTTTGTCTCTGTGGTCTTGTTTCGCTGTCGTCTCCATCGTTCCCAGTCATCGTCCGTGTTACGTCTTTTTGCTATGTTGAAAAGCCTATTCCGCTTGCGTATTTCTCGTTTAAGTTCAATGGTAAGCCATGGTTTGTCGTGAGATTTTATTGTAATTTTCCGACTTGGAATGGCTGCTTTGGCTGCAGTTAATAGAGCGTCAGTCAAGTTATATGCTGCGTCGTCCAAGTCACAGTCCAAAAGTCTGTCCCAGTCAGTGTCCATCAAAAGTCGTGTCAGTTTGTCTGCGTCCATATGTCTGTAGTCCCATAGTTTAATGGAATATGTTACGCTGGAGGGGCGACTTATGTTAAGACAGGCAAATATTGGTAAATGATCAATTTTTGAAAAAGGAGGAAGTGTACCACTGTCAAGGACCATTTCTGGGTTTGATACTATAAGAAGATCGCGTAAATTGGTAACACTGGTGTCTGCATAACGTGTGGGTTGATTAATGAGCTGCTTGAGGTTGAGTGAATAAAGTTCATCCTGTAGGGTAATTTCAAATGGTGTTACGGGGCTATGGTTAAATAAGTCTGAGTTGAGATATGTGTTTCCAGCATTAAAATCTCCCAAAATAACAATATTGTCTGGTGAGTGGACTTGAGCTAGGGTTATGGATTCGTTTAAGTTTTCTAAGAACTTATTATGCTGTGGTGCGGTCATATTCGGAGGAAGGTATACTGTGCACACTATTACACTAAATTTACCTAATTTTATCAGACACCAAATCCATTCATAGTCGTGATGTTCGAGATGAAAGAGTCGTTTAACCGGAATATTACTGCGCACGTACATAGCCACCCCTCCCCCATTTCTATTCCTATGTTTAGTTAATGGGTCATGAAAGTTGTCAAGGGTGTAAAGAGAAGGGTGTACTGTGTCGTCAAGCTTTGTCTCAGAAAGTCCCAGTATGTCGATCTCGTGAAGAGAGGAAAAGTAGGATAGCTCGTCAAGTCGGCAGCGAGATGTGATGGAATTTATATTTACGTGTGATACGATGATGTGGTTGTTGTGGCTTCCGCTTGAAGATCTAGAATGTGTTGACGTGTCTGGTGTAGACGCCGCCGACCCAACTGAAGCAGCCCGGCACCCGGGACCTGAAGAAAGTGAAATGACGCTCAGCAGATGTCGGTGGCGCGGCGACGGGCGATAAACAGAACATTCACATAACAAAACAATCAAACAACAAGACCAAACAATGCATATAACAAAATAACTCAGATAGACGGTAAAATTAAACGATTTAAACTTACGGAAACTGACAAAAACAAAAACAAAACAAATGGCAAAGCAGAACGTAGCAGAAAGAATACACATGGATAAATACATCTGAACTCTAAAACTACTTACATTCACTGCTGACACTTAAAAGAGTACCTTACGTCACACGAAGAGTTTAACAAACCCAAGCCGACGCCCCGACCCCCCCCCCCCATCCCCATCCCCCAGCCGCCACCCCGGAAGCCCGGTCGTAATCCCAGATCCAAACAGCCCCCCCCCGTCGCATCCAAACCCCAGCTCTCCCTCCCCTCGGAAGCCCCAAGCACAAGGCAATAGTACCCAAACACTTGATCACCTGTACCGCCCACTACACGCCGACCACCAAACCAGCGTCGACGGAGACGAGCGACGACCAGAGACGAGCGAGGACGTCAGTCGCCCGTCTGAGGACCGACGACCGTGGACGTCAGGCGGGCAGACAGCCGGCCGCCGGCACCGCCAACGGCGCAGGCAGCCGGCCACGACGCCGACAACGAGCAGGGACGGCAGCCAGGCAGCCGGCCGCCGGCACCGACGACCATGGCGCAGACAGACGACCGGGGACGCAGACGGACAGCCGCCGCCGTCGGCACCGAACACAGCGCCGGCAGAGACGAGCGGGAACGGCAGGCGGGCAGCCGGCCGCCGGCACCGACCACGGCGTCGACGGAGACGTAGACAGCGGGGCTCAGCAGGTGGGCAGCCGGCCGCTGGCCTGACCACGGCGTCGACGGAGACGTAGACAGCGGGGCTCAGCAGGTGGGCAGCCGGCTGTCGGCCCGACCACGGCGTCGACGGAGACGGAGACAGCGGGGCTCAGCAGGTGGAGACGTAGACAGCGGGAATGGCAGGCGGGCCGCCGGCCGTCGGCCCGACCACGGCGTTGACGGAGACGTAGACAGCGGGGCTCAGCAGGTGGGCAGCCGGCCGTCGGCCCGACCACGGCGTCGACGGAGACGTAGACAGCGGGGCTCAGCAGGTGGGCAGCCGACCGCCGGCACCGACCACGGCGTCGACGGAGACGGAGACAGCGGGGCTCAGCAGGTGGGCAGCCGGCCGTCGGCACCGACCACGGCGTCGACGGAGACGTAGACAGCGGGGCTCAGCAGGTGGGCAGCCGGCCGTCGGCACCGACCACGGCGTCGACGGAGACGTAGACAGCGGGGCTCAGCAGGTGGGCAGCCGGCCGTCGGCACCGACCACGGCGTCGACGGAGACGGAGACAGCGGGGCTCAGCAGGTGGAGACGTAGACAGCGGGAACGGCAGGCGGGCAGCCGGCCGTCGGCCCGACCACGGCGTCGACGGAGGCGTAGACAGCGGGGCTCAGCAGGCGGGCTGCCACCGTCGGCACCGAACACAGTGCCGGCAGAGACGAGCGGGAACGGCAGGCGGGCAGCCGGCCGTCGGCACCGAACACAGTGACGGCAGAGACGAGCGGGAACGGCAGGCGGGCAGCCGGCCGTCGGCACCGACCACGGCGTCGACGGAGACGGAGACAGCGGGGCTCAGCAGGTGGGCAGCCGGCCGTCGGCACCGACCACGGCGTCGACGGAGACGTAGACAGCGGGGCTCAGCAGGTGGGCAGCCGGCCGTCGGCACCGACCACGGCGTCGACGGAGACGGAGACAGCGGGGCTCAGCAGGTGGAGACGTAGACAGCGGGAACGGCAGGCGGGCAGCCGGCCGCCGGCCCGACCACGGCGTCGACGGAGGCGTAGACAGCGGGGCTCAGCAGGCGGGCCGCCGCCGTCGGCACCGAACACAGTGCCGGCAGAGACGAGCGGGAACAGCAGGCGGGCAGCCGGCCGTCGGCACCGACCACGGCGTCGACGGAGACGTAGACAGCGGGGCTCAGCAGGTGGGCAGCCGGCCGTCGGCACCGACCACGGCGTCGACGGAGACGTAGACAGCGGGGCTCAGCAGGTGGAGACGTAGACAGCGGGAACGGCAGGCGGGCAACCGGCCGTCGGCCCGACCACGGCGTCGACGGAGGCGTAGACAGCGGGGCTCAGCAGGCGGGCTGCCGCCGTCGGCATCGAACACAGTGCCGGCAGAGACGAGCGGGAACGGCAGGCGGGCAGCCGGCCGTCGGCACCGAACACAGTGACGGCAGAGACGAGCGGGAACGGCAGGCGGGCAGCCGGCCGTCGGCACCAACGACGGCGTCGACGGAGACGGAGACAGCGGGGCTCAGCAGGTGGGCAGCCGGCCGTCGGCCCGACCACGGCGTCGACGGAGACGTAGACAGCGGGGCTCAGCAGGCGGGCCGCCGCCGTCGGCACCGAACACAGCGCCGGCAGAGACGAGCGGGAACGGCAGGCGGGCAGCCGGCCGTCGCTACCGAACACAGTGACGGCAGAGACGAGCGGGAACGGCAGGCGGGCCGCCGGCCGCCGGCACCGACCACGGCGTCGACGGAGACGGAGACATCGGGTCTCAGCAGGTGGGCAGCCGGCCGCCGGCACCGACGACCATGGCGCTGGCAGACGACCGGGGATGACAGACGGACAGCCGCCGCCGTCGGCACCGAACACAGCGCCGGCAGAGACGAGCGGGAACGGCAGGCGGGCAGCCGGCCGTCGGCACCGAACACAGTGACGGCAGAGACGAGTGGGAACAGCAGGCGGGCAGCCGGCCGTCGGCACCGACCACGGCGTCGACGGAGACGTAGACAGCGGGGCTCAGCAGATGGGCAGCCGGCCGTCGGCACCGACCACGGCGTCGACGGAGACGGAGACAGCGGGGCTCAGCAGGTGGAGACGTAGACAGCGGGAACGGCAGGCGGGCAGCCGGCCGTCGGCCCGACCACGGCGTCGACGGAGGCGTAGACAGCGGGGCTCAGCAGGCGGGCTGCCGCCGTCGGCACCGAACACAGTGCCGGCAGAGACGAGCGGGAACAGCAGGCGGGCAGCCGGCCGTCGGCACCGACCACGGCGTCGACGGAGACGTATATAGCGGGGCTCAGCAGGTGGAGACGTAGACAGCGGGAACGGCAGGCGGGCAGCCGGCCGTCGGCACTGACCACGGCGTCGACGGAGACGGAGACAGCGGGGCTCAGCAGGTGGGCAGCCGGCCGTCGGCACCGACCATGGCGTCGACGGAGGCGTAGACAGCGGGGCTCAGCAGGTGGGCAGCCGGCCGCCGGCACCGACGACCATGGCGCCGGCAGAGACGACCGGGGACGACAGACGGACAGCCGCCGCCGTCGGCACCGAACACAGTGCCGGCAGAGACGAGCGGGAACGGCAGGCGGGCAGCCGGTCGTCGGCACCGACCACGGCGTCGACGGAGACGTAGACAGCGGGGCTCAGCAGGTGGGCAGCCGGCCGTCGGCACCGACCACGGCGTCGACAACGAGCAGGGACGGTAGGCGGGCAGCCGGCCGTCGGCACCGACCACGGGCAGGCACCCAGCTGGCAGTCAAGCTGGAAGAGCTACCTCGCGATCTCCGACGGCGTAACTGCTACTCGAATCGACGGAGATCAGTCTTGCACCTCAGCCTCACCGTCGCCGACTGCTGGGACTGCTTAACCTTCAGTACACAGCCGTCCGACCAAACCGCCCACAGCTTCCCGGCCCGCTTCAGCTGCCGCGCAAGATACATGATCTCTTGGTTCTTGCGAGTCAGGTTCTCTTGCACGAATACCTCCTTGGTTGCTCCGTCGGTCAGACCAGAACTCCGCGGCGGCTTAGCCTGCCTCAGCTGCTTCCGACCAAACCATACAGCTTCACGCTTTAAGTACGAGACGTACTTTACGACCAGGGTGCGAGGCGACGGGGCTGGCTGGTTTGGGGCAGCCTCCCTGGGTCTGCCGACGCGGTGTGCCCTGTCGATATCCGCCCGTTCTAACTTGACGTTAGCCATCTTGGCAAGGTCGATAGCGAGTTGCACAGTATTTTCATCTCTCGATTCCGGCACCCCTGTAAAGTTCAAGCAGTTCCGCCGCGAATACTGCTCGAGGTCGGCAAGACGCTCCTCCTGCTGGGAGATCACCAGCTTGCTGGCCGCCACCTCCTCCTTTAGCTCTCGGATCTCCTTCTCTTTCTCTTCAAGGCCGAAGAGCTCCCTCAGTGTTGCGCGAATCTCCGCATCGCCAAGCATGGCAAGAAGTCCCGCCTTCAAATCACTGAGTTCCGGCATTTTTGCTTCAATCACCCGCCGCCGCGCCACGCACTAGTCCGCACTAGATCCCCTCACCGCCGGGCTGGACGGCTGAGCACTGGCCGCTGACCGCACAAACACCGGGTCGGGGTCACGGGGTCACCGGGCGGGCGGAGCGGGGCCGCACACGTCCTGACCCTTGGCCGGTCAGTGGAACACTGTCGTGTTCTTTGCCTTCCCCAGACGCTGATAAACACGTAAAAAATGGTCCAGCCCGGTCTCACGGCAGTGTTTAGGGTGCTCTTCAACCTACAGCCACTAGCCCCAGATGAGCTTTTTCCTGAAAATCCGAGATACAACAAGAAGCACGAGGGTCACCAAGGACGTCTTTCGAGTGGGATTGGTTCTGACTAGTTATGAATCAATCTGTATACCGAAATGAGGCCAATCAGTAAATTCCTTTCAAATTGACTGTTCTGAGAGCGGCCGTAGTCTAGCGAATAACTAAGACAAAGGCCCCGTTCAGGTCATTGAGGATACATCGATCGTAACGCTTTTCAATATTTATCATCCAGACGAGATCTAAGCACTTTATATTCAGCAGTGCATGCTGAAAATGAAGTTCCATGTTTTCAGAGACATATTTCAGTCATAGCACTTCTTCATAGCGCGATGAGCATATCAGGCAATAATAGCAGCACTTAATTTACTTCACGTACCACGAATCCAGTACTCAATCGTCCTCCAGCCCTGCAATAGGTATCTCGGAGACGGGTCACCGCGACCCGGGCCGGGTCTCCCACAGCTCTGATAGACACGCCGTCCGTGTGTTTCAGGCCTGTACTACGGGGTCACCCTGTGATAGACACACCGTCCGTGTGTTTCAGGCCTGTACTACGGGGTCACCCTGTGATAGACACGCCGTCCGTGTGTTTCAGGCCTGTACTATGGGGTCACCATCTGCCTGGTCTCGTTCGCCTCCGGCCTGTCCGTGCTGACGCTCAACATCTTCCACCGCGGCTCGCGCGGTATCGAGGTGCCGCGCCTCGTGCGCACCATTGTGCTGGGCTTCCTGTCGCGTATCGTCTTCATCCACTTCGAGAAGCCGCCGATCCGGCCGGGCCGGCCGCGCGGCGCCATGGCGGTGAGTAGCCCTGAGCTTCTCAATGGTAGGAGTCTGCTCAGGATAGACAGCACTGGCGGTGAGTAGCTGTGAGTTTCTCTGCAGGATAGGCGTCTCCTCAGGATAGACAGCACTGGCGGAGAGTGTCTGCGCATATCTCCCCGGGACAGACGGAGTCTCCTCTGGACAGACAGCACTGTTCGGCACACAACTGGCGGGAATATTTCCTGAGTCTGATACCGGGATCAATGCCAACGACTGGTCTCAGGCACCAGCTGCTTCCTCTATTTGTCTTGCGCGGCGTTAAGTTAATTTCCTGTGATTCCCCAGCGGCCGTCGCGAGATAGCACCATTAGATTTTATCACTCGATTCGGGGAATACGGGGCCGTTGGTACAGTAATGCATCAACAACTAGTGTATAAAAGATGTGAAACTATTGGTACAACGTAGGACAAACTGCAAGTTACTGACTTGTTTATTGGTGGCCCAATTTGTATCAGTCAGGACTGGAATAAAATGGACGTCCGTTTCAATTGGTAATCACACAATTTGCACGTTTTGACAGTGCTTGACCATGACATCAATCGTATTATACAAAAGGACGGAGCTGCTTTCATTCTGCAATGCTTTTTTGCATGAAAGAACACACCGGACTAATCCCTCCGTTTGCCGCTTATGACGCTGCCTTCTCCGATCGCTCAGTAGACGAGGGCCAGTAGTCGGCAGAGCACACGGCTCACAAATAGTTACTGACCACACAGACGAGCCCCATGTCAAATATGGATACGGGGCGCAGAGCCGGGCCGGCTTATTGACTGTCGTTTACATGCGATCGGCGCGGGCCGGGCCGAAAACAGTCGCCGCGCCGCCCGCATAGTCGGCCGACAATAATCCGGCGGACGCGCCCGCTCCGAAAAAGAACCATCGTCTGAGAGGAGACTATACCGACTGAAGAATGGCGCGTCAGCTGTGACACCTTCTGACAGGCTGGCTGAAATCCACCCAAAGGATACAAAATATATCAATATCCAATCATTAACCTTCCAGGCGGTGGGGGGGGGGGGGCATTTTTTTGCCCCCCCCTTTAGTTTTTTCGATATATCTCGAGAACCGCTGCGCCGATCGTCACCAAACTTTCAGTACCCTCCCGGGAGCAGCTAGCGCACATGGTGACCAAAAATTTTTCCAAAGGCTATGATAGGTTGGCCGCTAATGACGTCAGAGTGACGTCATTTTTGCCATTTTCGACCCAAAAAAAGGTTTCGCGGGAAGAGCTGTCAGGCCTACAGCTTTAGAGATACAGAAAAATGTTTCAAACATAAAAGGTGTGGAATTAAAAGGGCTACAAAACTGCTATTTCGGTTTTTCGAATTTTTTGGATTTTGACCCCCAAATATCAAAAAATAGATTTTCTGAATATAATAGCCAAAAAATCCAAAAGTTTTTTGAATTTCGAAAAAACCGGAATAAATGTGATAGCCCCTACCGCCTTCTATCTACATACCAAATTTGAGATCGATACCTCTTTTTTTGGCGAAGTTATAGCGAAAAAACTTCAAAATTGATGACATCAAATTTTCAAACTCAATTTTTAGCAATTCTAGACCTCGTAGCGCAAAACAAAGACCACCATTAGACTCCCCGTGACGAGCTGCATCGAATCAATACCCATTTTATGCAAAAAATATCAACTTTGAAATTTGACCTTTTTTGACCTGACCTTGACCTGACCTCGACCTGACCTCCACCAGAAGGTGACCTAAACCGTACCTGATGGTCTTATAACCAACACCATTGAGTTGGAAATGAAAAACTGGCCATAAAACATGCATCGCATAACCTTAGTTAAGTTGGGCTCATGTGGTGACCCTTGGTGACCTGACCTGTGACCTGACCTGGTATGACCAGTGACCTCTAATAGCAACATATGTACTAGACAACTGACGCCTTATCGCTGATTTTCGACAAAATGCGTTTTACTCGGTGTTATAGCGCTTTCCCTACAAGCCCCGTGAACGGTGAAACATTTTATCTTTGACCTGACCTGTGACGTTATCGGTGACCCCGAGGTCAATGAAATTTGGTTTCGCTCGACAAATTTGACAGGGCTATCGAACACCGTTTGAATTTTCCGGATCCGTCCAGTAGTTTCGGAGATACGGGGGGGGGGCAAAAAAGTGCCCCCCCCCCACCGCGCGGAAGGTGGCTGGTAGGCCCACCGCCTGCCGGGTTAAGGTTGTAAAAGGAAGTAAGCGCGATGTAAAACGGAATTGCGTGCCATTTCCAAGAACGCTAATCCGTGGGCTGTTCTGATGGTTGAGCGGATTTATAATTGAATTAATTTCATCCAAATAGACACGAATGCCAAACAAGTTAAAAAGGGTGTTTGTTGTTTTTTAGGGGTGATGCTGTTGTTGTTTAGTGCTTTGTAACTAGTAAGTAGACCACCATTTGCAAGGTAATAGCAAAAACAATATCAAAATAAACCTGGTCATGGGGGCTTTTGACATTGCACCATTACTATTCCCGATGCCGTCTGCTCCGCTGAGTTCGTAAAGATTTGTGCTCATTTTATGCAACCGTGGGAAAGTTTACCTGTGCAGAAACGACTCGAACCCAGACCTCTTCCGGAATGACTATCTGAAGTGGCAATGACATCGACCTCAAATCCCCCCATCCCAGAATACTCAGAGGCTTCTGTGGCCAAAGTTAGAGTCCAACAAAATTGAAGAACTCACAACCGCGCTGGTGAAGTTCAGAAAAGCTCATGAAAATCCCTTCTGCCGAAACTGGATTAGATTAAGACATTGAGACCTGCAAAACACTTAACTTAACCGCAGTTAGATGAACGAATTGATTGCTATTTAACTTTCGGGCTCATAAATATAAATCTCAACAACAATGGCCGAACAGAGGAAACATTACATTTCATCATATGAAATCATTCGCCGGATGGAGAAAATGACAAAACCGAGAATTGTTAACAGGGTCTCGGTTTTTAGCATGTTATTGCATTTTCAGCATCGCCACTTCATTGATACCGAACTGAACCAGACACGCTATACGTTCAACCATGTAACGCTAAGAAGTGGTATGTCTTCATGCTGCCCCCCGCCCGAGACTCCCACAGTGTATTGTGTGACGGGGTGGTGCTCGGTTTCAGGACCTGACGCAGCGGGCGGACGGACTGCTCAACTCGCTGGGCCGTGACCGGCGCACCATGGCCGACGGCGACAGTCTGGACAGTCTGCGCTACCCGTGCCGGCGGGGCCACCACACCACCGAGCCGCCCACCATGCTGCCGCCCTCCGGTCAGTGCCGGGAGGCGTCAGTACCCAGTCCCCGCCCTCCGGTCAGTGGCGGGAGGCGTCAGTACCCAGTCACCGCCCTCCGGTCAGTGGCGGGAGGCGTCAGCAGTACCTAGTCCCCGCCTCCGGTCAGTGGCGGGAGGCGTCAGTACCCAGTCCCCGCCTCCGGTCAGTGGCGGGAGACGTCAGCAGCACCCTACCCAGTCATCGGTCGGGAGACGTCAGTACCCAGTTCCCACTCATAACTCGTCACCATTATAGTCTCCATCGGCCAGTACTCCACGGTTCTAACCACTACCACCTTAACCCCTAACCCCTACCAGTCATACCAGTCACTTCTCAGTAGTTTTCTCAACAAAACAAGCGCTTTGTATGCATGGCATATCACTCTACAACGAACTGCTGCCTGCTGCCGAATCTAGGAACGCATTTCGACCGATCTCGCAGCCAACTCCGTCACACAAAGTTAAATAATTTTAAAGGGACCCTCCCACCTTCAAAAAAGTTAATGAATTGGCATGAAAGTGATGTCACTCGGTTCAGAAAGAGCAAAAACGAATATCTACCAAATTTCATCGAAAAATATTCACCGGTTTTCAAGATATTAGACTTTTACTTTTGTTTACTTTTTGGGATCTCCGCTGTTCCTAGCGACTTTATTTGAAAGTGCGGCATTTGTTGCGCGCAAAGCAGCATATACCACCGCGTGCTACAAAACGTTTTAGTCAAACATTTAACGGACGTTCGAAAGCCTGATGACGTCATCAGATTCCCGTAATGGTTAAGAGATAGGGACCACGCTGGTCCCACCCTGCAAGTAAAGGGAAGAAATTTCTTGAACACCATAAAGCTGCAGGGGTTGCGACCAGGATAAATGGTGGTTTCTGAGCCTGGCCGCAAACTTGGCTATCTCAACTCAAAACTAATGTTAAGGTGGGAGGGTCCCTTTAAGTGTCCGTCTTATATCACCGTGGTCGCGTGGTCTCAGCCGGCGCCTCGCTAACTGCCACGCTCGGGCTGGCCGTGCGTTTGGAGCACGTCTGACCCCAATACTGGCTGTAGCGTCATAGCTCCTCTGGGCGCACCCTGACCCATATCACCGCCCCGGTCTGACCGGCAAGCTCCATACCACCGCCCCGCGGTCGGCGCGCGGCGGGCGGTCGCGCGTATGCGTGCCGGTCGAGCCGCAGACCCATCCGGTGGAGCCGCGTGCCGATCCCACCCCGAGTCCGTGTCTGCCGGGCGTGCCGGCACCGGCGGGAGGTCCGGCAGGCGGTCCGGCGCTCCGTGAGCGCGGCGCCAGCCGCCACTGACGGATATTGTGCCGGTCACAGCGGCGGCGCCGCGCGACCCGCCGTGCGCGACACGCGATATTACAGGCCCGACCGGCGAGATACAGCGTGATCAATGCGCAGATTCGTCCTCGGGGACAGCCGGCGCGCCGGGTGTCGGCACGCCGCCGCCTTATTAGCCGGTGCCCGTAACGACGGCCGGCCGGCCGCCGCCGCCACGCACGGCCCCGGACCCGACCGGCGCCCACACTCAGAGTGGGCCAATGGACGCTGAGCGCGACTCAGTGTGCCAATGGACTCGGAGGTTCGTCGGCGCAACTCCTCGCCACTGCTCAGAGACCACGGCTGCGTCAGGAACGGACGCAGCTCTGGTGATACCGTTTCACGAGCAGCGTGACCGTCTGGAGTAATATCTGGCAATCGTCCAAATTACACACCAGTCACCAATCTTATACAATTTTCCGCCACTCGTCCCATCCGCCAACACAGATATGACCTCGCATGGCTAAGCACTAAGCACTTACCTACGCGGTTCTAAGTCTAGTCACCAATGACTCCCGCTGTGACCAGCAGGTAGTTCCTATTCCAGCCAATAGATGGCTGTTGAGACGTGCGCCTGTCACATGCTGTGCCGCATGACTCCCAGTATCTAATTCTGCCGGTAGATGGCTCCCCGGTAGTGCGTCTTTTACATGCTGTGCCGCATGACTTGCCAGTTCCCGATCCTGCCGATAGATGGCTCTCAAGTAGTGCGCCTGTTCCACGCTGTGCCGCAGCGCACGTAGTTCCTACTCCGGCCGACAGATGGCTTACCAGTAATACGCCTGAAGCATACTGTGCCGCAACGCATGCGTAGTTCCTACTCCGGCCAACAGATGGCTCACCAGTCATACGCCTGAAGCATACTGTGCCGCAACGCACGTGTAGCTCCTACTCCAGCTAACAGATGGCTCACCAGTCATACGCCTGAGCCCTGAAGCAAGCTGTGCCGCACGAATCGGCCCTGATGATACGGCGCATTACAAGGCCGTGTGTATGGTGAACTACTAACTAGATAGCGGTCAGGAAGGCATCAGGTCAAAAGTAATGCAAAGCATTTAAAAGGCACTGGAACGACAGATTATACACTGGAAAACTGAAACTTACACAAGAAGCGTAACTCCTACACTGAAAGCGGCCGACGAGCTCCACCGTGACCAGGTTTTCTCGCGGCCCTTGGACTCCCCTCGCAGCCGCCTGCTCCCTTGCTCTCCTATATCGTTACCTAGGCTAAGCTCTCATATACAGGTCGTGCGTCATGGTCGGTATATTTTTCTTTTGCCGGGCATGAGGTCATACCCTAATTGGGTATCTATTACGCCGGTGCCGGCGGCGTCCAAGCCGTATCCATTTCCGCGGCTGAATATAATCAGCCGGGGGAGTCATTAGCGGCTGATCCGGGGCGGCGGGTCATTCGACCCTCTGCCGGGGGCGCAGCTCATGTCTGCCTTATTTACGGGTCATCCCACAGCCTCCTCGAGCAGCACCGGCCGTACTCCACTATACATTCCCCTAAATAGCCGTACTGTTCCAATGCTGACCAGTCTTCCAGCGGCCGCGCTCACACATCCGTGTCCGTTTCAGAGGACTTTGAGCGCAACTTTGTGCGCGTGCTCAACAGGATATACCAGACGATCGAGAGGAACGAGACGCGTCTGGAGGAGCAGGAGTACCGGGACGCCACCAGGCAGGAGTGGCAGCAGGTGAGAGAGATACCTACACCAGACAGAAGTGGCAGCAGGTGAGAGAGATACCTACACCAGACAGGAGTGGCAGCAGGTGAGAGAGAGATACCTACACCAGACAGGAGTGGCAGCAGGTGAGAGAGATACCTACACCAGACAGGAGTGGCAGCAGGTGAGAGGGATACCTGCACCAGACAGGAGTGGCAGCAGGTGAGAGAGATACCTACACCAGACAGGAGTGGCAGCAGGTGAGAGAGATACATACCCCAGACAGGAGTGGCAGCAGGTGAGAGATACATACACCAGACAGGAGTGGCAGCAGGTGAGAGAGATACCTACACCAGACAGGAGTGGCAGCAGGTGAGAGAGATACCTACACCAGACAGGAGTGGCAGCAGGTGAGAGAGATACCTACACCAGACAGGAGTGGCAGCAGGTGAGAGATACCTACACCAGACAGAAGTGGCAGCAGGTGAGAGAGATACCTACACCAGACAGGAGTGGCAGCAGGTAAGAGAGATACCTACACCAGACAGAAGTGGCAGCAGGTGAGAGAGATGCATACACCAGACAGGAATGGCAGCAGGTGAGAGATATACCTACACCAGACAGAAGTGGCAGCAGGTGAGAGAGATACATACACCAGACAGGAGTGGCAGCAGGTGAGAGAGATACCTACACCAGACAGGAGTGGCAGCAGGTAAGAGAGATACATACACCAGACAGGAGTGGCAGCAGGTGAGAGAGATACCTACACCAGACAGGAGTGGCAGCAGGTGAGAGAGATACCTACACCAGACAGGAGTGGCAGCAGGTGAGAGATACCTACACCAGACAGGAGTGGCAGCAGGTAAGAGAGATACCTACACCAGACAGAAGTGGCAGCAGGTGAGAGAGATACCTACACCAGACAGGAGTGGCAGCAGGTGAGAGATACCTACACCAGACAGAAGTGGCAGCAGGTGAGAGAGATACATACACCAGACAGGAGTGGCAGCAGGTGAGAGAGATACCTACACCAGGCAGGAGTGCCAGCAGGTGAGAGATACACCAGACAGGAGTGGCAGCAGGTAAGATATACATCAAGGGGTTTGAGTAAATTAAACACGTAAGGCAGCTTTGTTATAAATGCCATTGTTCGCATTTATCGAGTGCGATATACTATTACAATTTGCTTGCCTTGCTTCGAATAAAGCTTAATCACTGCAGCCGACTACGCAGAATAACGAGGAATACTCCCAGTATTATTCCGCTAATAAGGCGAAATACGATCCACATTCTCGTATGTTCCGCTAATGTGTCTGAAATGTGTCCTGAGCTGTGGCAGCACCGGTGTCCTATATACCATGATTTGTACTGGTGGCGGTGTGGGACACACTTACTCAGCAATGCCAGCAACAGTTGCATTATCGATACCTGCCCTGAGGCTGACCAATACATAAGTGCGCCACTCCGTAGGTACTCTGCATTGTTGTTGGCTTACTACTTAGTCACCCTTTCTGACCATCGGTGGCGCAGACTCCAGAGGGCGCCCCTACTGACCAGCACTGCGTCCCTCCGCCCGTCAGGTGGCCATCGTGTGTGACCGGGTGCTGCTGCTCATCTTTCTGCTCTCGACGGCCACGGCCACCTCGGCCATCCTGCTGTCCTCGCCGCACCTGCACTGAGGGAGGAGCAGCTGCCCCACCGCGCACCGCTGGGCGAACCTGTGCTGAGGGAGGAGCAGTCGTCCCACCGCGCACCGCTGGGCGAACCCGTGCTGAGGGAGAAAGAACCGTCCGTCCGCCCCGCTCACTGGACGGCGAATCTGCACTGAGGAGAAGAGGCGACACTGCCGGTCCGCAGCGTCCACCGGGAGATCAGCAGAGCGCTCACTCTTCTAAACGGATCCTCTCAGAGCCCCTCCGCTCAGTGACAGGCGGGAGTCGCTCGGACGACACGCCCAGACCGCGCCACTGACATTGGTTCACAGACAGTGGTTGTGATTGGAGGTGTCGGTGATGGCGTTCAGAGACCACTTCGCCAGACCTTCAGCCACGCGAGCTGAAGGACATGAGGAATGAAAATGATGAAGTTGATAACTGTGTGTGGGAGACATTCACGCTCCTGCGTCCCTCTGCTCGACTGCTCACAAGAACCTAAACAGTGTGAAATTGAAGTGATTCGTCACTTCGTGTGAACTCCATATAGACCCTCATAAAAGTTGCATGGTCTTTTGTAATTGAGATGACAGGTACACGGAGGATGGTGTTCGCAAAATAAGACGAAAAGCGCAAAATCCTGTCAAAGTGACACGAATATTGAGGCATATCGAGTTGGTGTGAGTTGTTGTGTGAATATGTGTGTAAATGGGGCATCGACAGCGAGCCGCGAGTTTTTACGGAGGGAAGCTGTCACAAATGCTGCTGAAAGGAGCTCCAATGATGTAAAACATAAATGTTCATCTGTAAATATGGCCATTGGCATGAAGATTAACAAGTGCAGGGATGGGATAAGTACGCAATTATCCGCCGGAGAGAAATGATGTACGTGTGTAGTTCTGGTGTAGTCAGAGATGTGTTCCATAGTTTGATTATGTAGGTATGTGATCAGCGCCGTGCAGGAACTTCAGTCGGCGCCGACCGTGTTCCCCGTACCAGCGCCTAGGTAACGTGAGCGTTAACCGAACCGACATCAACTGTAGCCATCCAAGCAAAAATAAACTCTGAGAGCAGCGATTGTTCATAATTCAGACGCGCTCGGGCTAAATTGGACGTTAAATAAGATTCGTAACGATTGGATCAGACCGGAGACGCTGATTTGCCGATCGGGGCTAATGGTGCCATGGCCCCATTGAGGGCAGTCGAGGACCCGTCTCTCGACTACTGGTTGGTGAATCGACCCACGTCGCGACCAGCGTAATTATTGCATGAACAGGAGCCAGGATTCCCTGAAATCAGAGACTGATACCCAGACGGTGTTTCGCTACAAGTTCTGCTTGGAGCGATTCAGCGGCACCCTGACCACAGCTGCTCTCGCTCATCCATCGAGGCATGTTGAAGGACTCAACCTGTATTAATAGTAGTGGGTTGTTATTGTTGAGAACAAATTGCACTCGGCAAACTGGTAAAAAAATCGGTACTGCAGCTGACCAGCACCATTAGACCGTGTCGGACCCATTTCGATCCCCAGGCCGCTCGAGTCTGAAGGTCATGGCGTTCAACTAACGATGCCCAGATCACAGACGGGAGCTCAGACCCGCCTCAATAGATCTCCCCACTCTGCGGCTGCTCAGCACTGACCTACAAAAAATGGACACCGCTCCACTAGTCAGAGGCCCTCTGAGTTACTCATACAGCCGATTAATTTGTTTAATTATTTCAATAACTGATGTAACTGACAATAGCTGACGTCAGCCGCCAAGGTCTCGGATCACCCGGTCCCAGTTGACACAGCAGTGGCAGAGTGCCGCTCACTGTGCAGTGGCTGCTGCTTACTATTCAGTGGCAGAGTGCCGCTCACTGTGCAGTGGCTGCTCACTACTCAGTGGCAGATTGCCGCTCACTGTACAGTGGCTGCTCACTACTCAGTGGCAGAGTGCCGCTCACTGTGCAGTGGCTGCTCACTACTCAGTGGCAGAGTACCGCTCACTGTGCAGTGGCTGCTCACCACTCAGTGGCAGAGTGCCGCTCACTGTGCAGTGGCCGCTCACTACTCAGTGGCAGAGTGCCGCTCACTGTGCAGTGTGCAGTGCCGCTCACTGTGCAGTGGCTGCTCACTACTCAGTGGCAGAGTGCCGCTCACTGTGCAGTGGTGCTCACTACTCAGTGGCAGAGTGCCGCTCACTGTGCAGTGGCCGCTCACTACTCAGTGGCAGAGTGCCGCTCACTGTGCAGTGTGCAGTGGCCAGTGCCGCTCACTGTGCAGTGGCTGCTCACTACTCAGTGGCAGAGTGCCGCTCACTGTGCAGTGGTGCTCACTACTCAGTGGCAGAGTGCCGCTCACTGTGCAGTGGTGCTCACTACTCAGTGGCAGAGTGCCGCTCACTGTGCAGTGTGCAGTGCCGCTCACTGTGCAGTGGCTGCTCACTACTCAGTGGCAGAGTGCCGCTCACTGTGCAGTGCCGCTCACTGTGCAGTGGCTGCTCACTACTCAGTGGCAGAGTGCCGCTCACTGTGCAGTGCCGCTCACTGTGCAGTGGCTGCTCACTGTGCAGTGTGCAGTGCCGCTCACTGTGCAGTGGCTGCTCACTACTCAGTGGCAGAGTGCCGCTCACTGTGCAGTGGCTGCTCACTACTCAGTGGCAGAGTGCCGCTCACTGTGCAGTGGCTGCTCACTACTCAGTGGCAGAGTGCCGCTCAGTGTGCAGTGGCTGCTCACTACTCAGTGACAGAGTGCCGCTCACTGCGCAGTGTGCAGTGCCGCTCACTGTGCAGTGGCTGCTCACTACTCAGTGGCAGAGTGCCGCTCACTGTGCAGTGCCGCTCACTGTGCAGTGGCTGCTCACTACTCAGTGGCAGAGTGCCGCTCACTGTGCAGTGGCTGCTCACTACTCAGTGGCAGAGTGCCGCTCACTGTGCAGTGCCGCTCACTGTGCAGTGCCGCTCACTGTGCAGTGGCTGCTCACTGTGCAGTGTGCAGTGCCGCTCACTGTGCAGTGGCTGCTCACTACTCAGTGGCAGAGTGCCGCTCACTGTGCAGTGGCTGCTCACCACTCAGTGGCAGAGTGCCGCTCACTGTGCAGTGGCTGCTCACCACTCAGTGGCAGAGTGTCGCTCACTGTGCAGTGGCTGCTCACTACTCAGTGGCAGAGTGCCGCTCACTGTGCAGTGGCTGCTCACTACTCAGTGGCAGAGCACCGGGACGAATCGCCCTAGTGTCAACCGTCAGCGCAGCTAGGGCGTCGTTGGCCTCATTGTGTAAAATGCATGGCAGCAGTTTGTGAAACACGAACAGACAATGTTATGATAATGTAAGGACTTACCTGGTTTCCAGTCGGCGAGGAGATTCGATGACACTTCAGTTGTTCACGGCCACAGCGAAATGGCTCTTGCGGTGCTCTAGTTCTCTTGTTCCATGAGCGTTGGCAGATAGTTACAAAGCTCGACGCTACAGCTCTCTCGACGTCTGCCTTCGCGGTTACAGGCAGTTTGACTTCTACAGCAGGCTACACTACAAGCATTCGAAAGCCATATCCAAGCAGTCAGCTGTATTCTCTCGGAGGATTCTTTTCCTCCAATGGCCTCGCCGATTCGCACAACAAACAACCAGCTACGGATTAGTAATAAGCGCGGGCAGCAGCTCCTTAAACCAAAGCCAAGCGCCGGCGTATCCGGGGCCCACCCGAGCCCTCAGCTAACGCCGGATACAACCAAGGGAGACAACAAACCAGGACGCCGCGTCTCTGGCGACACACAACGGTCAACAAATCACCGCACCCTACGGCACCGACCGGCGAACAAAGCACCGGATCCTACTGCGCCGGTGGACGAATCACCGTACCCTACGGCACCGACCGGTGGTCACATCACCGTCCCTACAGCACCGACCGGTGGTCACATCACCGTACCCTACGGCACCGACCGGTGGTCACATCACCGTACCCTACTGCACCGACCCGCATGGCCGCCGGGCCTCCGGCGCTCCCTCCGTCCTCTCTCTCACTCTCCCTCTCTCTCTCCCGTAACGCTCTCCGTATAGTTCCGATATCGGCGCCAAACTTGTGCGCGTCTCTGTCCCCTACGTTTCCGTTACCGCACCTCTACGGCCGGCGAGGGTCAGGTACAGCTCTCTCCGCCGCGGACTGTGTGGCACCACAGCGCCGCCAGGGCGGGACTAAGTGCACTTTGTCCGAGACGCCGCGAGCCCGCCCCGCAAGGCGTCATCTGGAGGGACTGGCAAGGCCTGGGCGCGTGGCACCGGCACACTCCGGTCCCACGGCGCCCCTACTGCGACCGGCGAGCGCGCCGCGCCGCCAGGGAAGTCATCTACTCAGACCGGCTCCGCGCCGGCCGGCCAGAACATCGAACCAGACAAATCGGAACGGAGGACAGGAAAGATACATCACAAACGGACACGGAAACGACCGGGACGAGCCACTAAATCACTAACCTACATGATCGAGAGGACAAGATGGAGCTCAAGTAAAATGCACCGTCTAAATGACAGTATAGATTAGGGAGCAGGAGACAAGAGCCTCAATACTAAATTCTTCCACAAGCGTCTCCTCCAAAAGCTTTGTAGCGACCATCACGTCGAAACGACACTAAACACTAGGCGGTCATCTATACAAAACGTTATACAAACACTAGCCTGGACGACAAGCGGACGGGGCGCGCCGATGGAATAGATGAAAGCGCACTTTGAAACGTTTTGGGTCACCGGACAGGGTGTCTGTCGATCCCGCGCAGAGAAAGAGAGCTCCTTAGCACTACCTTAACATAATCCTCGGCCGACCGGCCGGGCGGGGAAGGCGGCGAGACATCTCGAGTCGCCGGCGCGCGGCGCGGGCAGTGGTCGCTCCTACCTGAACTTTGAACAGCCGCCCGCCGCGCCACCTTGTTAGATGCTCGCTCGGAGCCGGACCGGCGGCGGCGAGCCGAGCGGCGCTGGCCGCCCGGTCGCTCGTCCTCCGCCGCCACTGAGCCTACATGGGCGGCGGCGGGTTGAGTCCGAAGATGGGCGGTTTGGTGTCGACCGACTGGAGGAAGTCGTTGATGTTGTTGAAGTCCATGGGCATGTCGTCCAGGATGGCGATGTCGGGTATGATGTCGCTGGCGTCGCCGTCGGCCGTGGCGAACCTGCCGCACAGACAGACGGACCGGTCACCGGGCGGGCGGGCAGCGGAGCGCGGCGGCGGCGGCCGAGCGCCGCCCGCCGGCCGCCGCCCCCGTCCGGTGAGCGCGGTCCGCTGGCCGGCCGGCGCGGCCCGGCGGCCGACGGCGGCGCTCCGTCCGCCCACTCCCTCCCTCCACAATACTGACCCACCCCAGACAGACAGCCACACAGCGACACACACCAGCCGGTGTATTATGGCCAATGATTCCGAATACGGCTCAAAAACACAAGCGGAGCGGTGCGGAAAGCGGCGGTGCGACACGCACACGGACACACGCACACACTGCGCGAGCGCGCGGACACCGAGCGAGCGACGGGCGCGCGGCACACACGTGGTGCGCCGGCACACTCGCGCGCCCTCTCACCCACTCACACACAGACAGTCAAAAATAGTCGCCGTGATTTTTTTGTTTTGATTATATGCATATTCAAAGTACGTCAAGCGACACACCAGCACATACACTTAAAATAGTCTTACTTAAACGGTGTAGTGCGGTGCTTAACACTAAGACAGCGGCGCGCCCGGGCCGCCGATCTGGACACGGCACGGGCACACAGTCAACAGCAACACATCGGAACGGCCGGCTGCGCCGCCCGTCGGGCACCGTCGCCGCGCCGGTGTCTTTCAGAGCGCGTCCGGCGTGCGCAGCTCACGGGCAGTCTGTGCGACGCCGCTCGGTGACCGCTCCTGTCCAGTGAGCTCCGGGCCGGTAAAACGCCAGCGGGCACGCCGCCTTGTACAACTACACGGATGAGCTTATAACAATGACAGCCGCCGGCCGCACCCGGCCTCCCGATGCCTCCTACGCGCTACAACTCTCTCGCTCAGTGTGTGATCTGCTCTAAATATGCACGCGTATCACAACGTTCCCGAATTGCACAGACATATCGCACCTCGCCCGCTGCTAGCGCGCCGCTGAGCGGGCCGGCCGGCCGGAGTGCTGCCGGCCGGCCGGACGCTTGGCACAGGCGCGCCGGCCAGGAATGTCAACAGCGTCACGGCAATTTGGTGTGTATGTGTGTGTGTGTGTCGAGCCACCCGGCGGCGCGGCCCCTCTATTCTCTACAGTCGGCCTCTGGCGGCGGGGCGGCCGCCGCACGACTGCCGCTATCACTTACATATCACATGAAAAGCCACGCGGCGGCAGCGCCCGCGCGCAAGCGACAGTGAACAGCGCCACGCGACCGCACCGGCACGCGGTCAACAAGCAGCACAGACGACCCCAGACAGACAGAGAGGAGACCGAGAAACAGCTGAAGGCGAAAAGGACGCGGCCCGGCTCGCTGCGCTACGGTACGCTACAGTCAGTCGACACACTGAGACACCACACACACACACTTGCGCAGACAAACACACAGACGGCCGCCGCTGCTCCCGGCGGCGGCCGCGAGATCGGCGCCGGCCGCGCGCATCCCCGGCGCCGGCCCGGCCCGCTCCAACGCCGCACACCTACAGCGCCGACCGACCGACCGTCGGCGGCGGCGGCTTAAAGCACGGCGAGACCGCCCGGCTGCCGGCGCCCGGATAAACTCTGAATCAGGCGTAACATCGCTCGACGCGACCCGCTTCGTACAAGGTACTCGGTTGGCTGGGCGGCTGCGGTGGCGCGTCTCCGGCCGCGGGCAGACGCCAACAGTGTCCGTTCCGTCACTCGCCCGCGCGCCTGCAGTGGCGCCGGGCGGCAGCGGTGGCGGCGCGCGGCCCCGGCGCTTCGGTGGTCGACTCACAGAGGTCGGCCGTGTGGGGCGGCGCGCGGAGCTCGGCCGCGGCCGGCCGTGTCGCCGACGACTCGTTACAGTTCCATACAGGACTGGAGACTGGAACCGCGGAGACACGCGGCCGTAGAGTGGACAACAGGTCAACCATCAACAGAGCGGAGCGACGGGTAGAACTGAGCAGCGGGTACTATGGGTTTGACAGATCAAACAGATAGAGAACTACTCATTTCACGACCCTTATATTGAAAGAAAATATATTTATCCTGAGAACAAAGGAAAATAACTATGGCAGAAAAAATATATTAGGAACAAGCAAGAGAATCACCGATCTCCGTTGATTCCAGTTACCGCTGTCTGTTTACAGTTCTGGCAAAGACAGTTACTCAGAGAGAAAAAAAATCGCGCCTTGAATGAGTCCAAGATCACCTTTTTTGGAGGGAGGGGCACGCAGCTATTGCAAAACGCGGCCTAACACTGCTATAATAGCCGGGCATTAAAAGTTCTTAAAGACGTAGGATCTCCGAGCACTGTAGGACGGGCGGTATCAGATACGTGGATTTTGTCACAGGCGAGGGACAAAGCTTTTAAATCAGCCGGAGGAAGGTGAGCCTTCTAGACACTAAAAACGGTGCAGTACCGTCTCACACCAAAAACAAATTGATTGTGGAAACAAAAGTCGAAACGTGATAGTCAGACAAAACGATACTTTCTTCAACATATCCACACATTTCGAATTAACTTATCGCAAAATATCTTCAAGCCCTTGATATGCGTAATGAATGGAGGTCAACTCTTAACCACCCGAGGTCAGCTCACTGACCGATATCATCTGTCTTATCCCATCGCAGAAACTCCTTCCAGTCGCGCCTGTCCCTTTCCGCACTCAGGAGCCTACATCTACATCTGCTCTACTCTAGCTCTAGCGTCTACTTCTACAACTACTACGCTGGCTCTACCCCCACTACCCTCGCTGCCCTGCCTGTCCGATTACTCACGTGGAGACGGACTCGGAGATGGCCGAGTTGACCGACGGCGTGTCCCGGTTGGTGTTGTCGGGCGATGTGGGCGAGTAGAACGTCTGAGGCGTGTTCGGGTAGCTGTCCATGCCACCCACACCCGACCACCTGTGTACCAGTGGCGCCACAGAATACAGTCAGACCGACGGAATGAGACGGCGGCCAGCACGGAAAGGACAGCGGGATTTGTGACTGAGTTTATCGACCCTTACCTGGAAGCGGCTAACACATTACATCAGCGCAGACTGAGGAGCAAATCTAATTAACCAGTTTAGATGTCATTTCCTTACCAAATATGCAATTAACAATTATTAGCTTCATTATGTTTGTAGCATATCTGCAAACGACGGCGTCAGTTCCTGACACACAATTCCTATGAGTGGCCTGCGCGCCTACACTCTACCCCTGAGCGGCCTACTGACCCCGGCACGTGAGTGACGAGCAGCGGGCGGACGTAGCCGTTGTTGGACGTGTTGCTGCTGCTGTTGATGGGCGTGTAGTACTTGGAGAAGGCCTGGTCCTTGATGATGTCCGGGTACAGGTAGATCAGGTGCTTCAGGTCCGACAGACGGTCGGCCAGAGAGCGGATCGCGAAGTCCTTGTTGGTGAACGGCTGCAGCATGTACACTTGTTGCTCTGCGGGGAGGGAACGCGCATCAAGACCTGCATCCTGACAAGTGTAGTGCCGATGGCGCGTACTACAGTCACATAACGAGACAAAGGTCAACACAGCTCACAGTCCCCTGACCACCAGCCACCACCCAGCCGCGGTCCACCTCCCCGGTATCCCATGTGCGCTGTGCGTACCGTAGTTACGTGACCCGCCGACAGGTGGGACCGGTGGCGTTCGCCCTGCCCGCCACCGGCAGTGCGTGCTCGCTTTCGGCAGAGCTCGGAGCTCCCTGTGCGTGGCCCAGTCGCCGGTATTTGAGGCGGTTCGGGTCTCCGCATGTGCTTTGAGCGGTGCGGAGATGGAGGAGGCTATCCGCGAGTTGGCGGAAAAAGTGAGTGCCATCGAGGCATCAGTGCGCGTCATTGACGCTCGTGTGAGTGAGCCCAACGCCGGTCGTCGGCACGTGGCTCCAACGGCTCTCAGTGCAGCCGAGGCTGCTGAGCCCAGTGAGAAGCAGGAGCAGCCGAGTTTCGGCGCGTCAGCAGATCTGCAGGCTGACTTTCGAGCGATTCGGGACAGCCTGAGCAAGGTCAAGCTCCCTCAGGACTTGGTGGTTGGTGACTCCCGAGCCGGAATCGGCAAGGCTGATCTAGCGCGCTTCCAGGTCATCCAGAAGTGCGCCCGTTTCCAGGAAACCGCCTTGAAGATACTGTCTTCGGCGCAGGTAGCTGATCCAGTGATTGACCAGCTCACAACCGTGACGCTGGCTCAGCTCAGGTTCCTACAAGAGGAGTACACTCATCTGATTGTCTCCAACCAGTTCGACGACTCTACGGCGCAGCTGTTCAAAACGCTGCAACACAACCCGGCGACCTTCACGCCTGGAGCAGTGGAAAATCTCCAGCGCGCCGTGGCCATTGCCGGGGCGCGGCAGCATTCTCGTCAGGTCAGCCAAGTTCCTGACCGTGGTCGCTGGCGAGGTCCAGCACCGCAGGGCCAACGGTTATACGGCGGCCCGGTGTCGTCTGATTGGCGGAGCCGCGGTCGTCCCGGCCTGCCGCCGTCACGTGACCTGCCGAGGTCGAGTCAGTCTGGTGGGGCGGGGGCCGGAGCTGCGGACTGATAGTGAGAGTGGACATGGTGCTGCGGCCGGAGGCCTGGGCGGGGATCGGTGCGTCTGATACAGTACTTAGCTGGGTGACGGAGGGCGTGCCCATCCCCCTCGTGCGTGAACCCGAGCGTAGAGTGTTCACCAATCCAGTGTTTAGTGGTGCAGAGAAAACGTTTTTGGACCAAGAAATCAGTGCGCTGGAAGAGAGGGGTATTATTCGGCGGGTTCGCGACATGCCCCATTGTGTATCGCCGCTGAAGGTAGTACCCAAGAGTGGCGGCAAGTTCAGACTGATATGCGACCTCAGGTACGTGAACTCGCATTGTGACACGCCAAAATTTTCTTCTGAGGGTGTTGATGTGCTGCCGGAGATAGTGCGCGGTGGTGAGCAGGCTGTCACCGTAGACCTGAAGGATGGTTTTTATCATTTTCCGATCAGGGCTGAGTTCCGAACGTATTTAGGGTTTCAGTTTGGCGGTTTTTGGTGGGTGTGGTGCTGTCTACCGTTTGGCTTGCAATGTTCGCCGTTTTTCTTCCACAAATGTATTCGTGTTGTCGTCGAGTATTTGCGTGGTCCTACTCACTCTCTATCCCTGATGGCATATGTGGATGATTTTTATCTTTGCTCGTCAAAAACACGAATTCAGGAGGACATGCGCGTACTGTTGGATACCCTCAAGGCACTAGGGCTTGCGGTTAATTTTAATAAGTCCTGTCTCACGCCGTCAGATTCAGTTACGTATTTAGGGTTTGACGTTCACTGTGCGTCTGCGTCTCGACCGCCTTTGATAACAGTTCCGAAGGCTAAAATCCGCAAGCTAAAACAGGACATTTCGAGGTCACTGAAACGTTCTAACGTGTCAGCTAGGGTGCTGGCTCGAATGGCCGGTCGTTGCGTTAGTATGCTCGCCGCGGTGTTCCCCGCAAAGTTGAAACTTCGCAATGTATACCGACTTTTGAATTCCAGGTCGTCTTGGGAGTCGCTGCTGACGTGGTCCCCCGGAGCCAGGGACGATCTGTCGTGGTGGGTGTCCTCTCTGGACAGCTGGAACGGCCGGCTGCTGGTGCCGCCAGCTGCTTGCGATCTGCAGCTCGCCACCGACGCCTCGGGCTCCGGCTGGGGAGCCGTTCTCTCGGCGCACAGTTGTCAGCTGGCGTCCGGGTTCTGGGACTGTCGGGTGAGTGGCGAGTCGGTCAACTATCGAGAGCTGCTCGCGGTATATTTGGCACTCCTTTCATTCCGTTCAGCGTTAGTTGGGAAAACAGTGGAGATTCTGTCTGACAATGTTGCTACTGTGGCGCACATTAATAATTTTGGATCTTCCAATATTCGCTTGGATAGTGTCGCCCAAGATATATGGGCATTTGCGTTACAGAATGGCATGTCGCTTGTCGCGCATCATATAGCGGGTGTTTCAAACACAGGTCCTGACGCTCTCTCGCGTGTTTCGGCGCGTCATGAGTGGGTGATACATCCGTTCATTTTCCGGCAGCTCGACCGGATGTTCGGGCCGCATACAGTGGACCGGTTCGCGTCGTTCAACACGGCGCTACTTCCCGCCTACAACAGTCGGTTTGCCGACCCCTGCTCGGCGGGGATCGACGCGCTGGGCCAGACCGATTGGGGCGCGGAGAACAACTGGGTGAACCCTCCGTTTCGTCTCATCTCGAGGGTTCTGGACATCGTGGAGGCACAGCGGGCGGTCGCGACGCTGATAGCACCCATGTGGCCGGGGCAGCCGTGGATGGCGCGGCTCCGCCGGCTGTCCACGGCGCCGCCGCTGCGGCTGCCGCCGGTGACGAGCTCGTGTCTCCCCCTGGCCGAGCAGCAGGAGATAGAGCCGCGGCGCAACTGCCGCTGGAGTCTGTTCGCCTGGAGGATATCTGGCGCGAACAGCTAGCCGCTCGTGGTTGGTCTCGGACAGCGAGCAACTGTATGCAACTGAGCCTGGCAGGCAGCACGTTGCAAACTTACGACCGTTACATTCGTGATTTGTTCACATTTTGCAGCGGCCGGGGAGTTTCTTTTCCGCCGACCGATCCTGCAGTGATGGCTGACTTCATGATCCACCGGTGTGGCTCCTCTTCTCGTCCACACTCCACTGTCCGGTGCGTGTCTGCCGCCGTATCTGCGCTGTATGAGGCAGTGGGTGCTGCTAACCCCGTGCACGACCCGTTTGTTGCTCGGTTGTTGCAGGGTATTGTGAAGAGTGGCACGCGCGCGCCGTTGGCCAGGTCGGCCGTCATGGATATTTCTGCGTTCATGCGTCTGTTTCGTGCCTGGTCAGGTAATGACGACCTGTCCGTTAAACACCTTAGGTTGAAGACCATTGTTTTGTTAGCTTTAGCGTTGATGTTAAGACCGTCAGACGTAGCGCCACGGGCTAAAACGTACGACACTAACACAGACCTTGTATCTTCTTTTGTGATGTCGACTGATCAGTTCTTGTTCAGAGAGGACGGCTCTCTCCAGGTAACCTTTTTGGGTGTAAAGAACGACAGCCAGAGAACGGGGTTTCAGGTTACCCTGCCCGCCTGTCCGGATCCCCAGGTAGACCCTGTGGGGGCGCTCAAGTCGTATTTTGCGCGTACCGACTCAGTGCGATGTCCCATGGTATCCCATGTGCGCTGTGCGTACCTCCGTTTTCGTGCGCGCCCCAGGCGATGGTGATGCCGCCCAACTCCGAGTCCGAGTAGCGCAGCAGGAAGGTGCCGTGCGGCCGCTGCTGCAGCATCTCCTCCGCCTGGCGGCGGCCCACGAAGCCCATCACCAGGCCGTCGTTCCACGGGCCGCGCAGGTGCTCGCGCGTCAGCTTCATCACGCCGTAGAACCACTCCCAGAAGGTGAAGTTGCGGTCGGTCAGCGGTTCCTTGGCGAACTGCTGCCACGTCAGCATCATGTTGGTGAAGTCCTGCACGTGCGGACTCCTGAAGGGCAACCACACGGAGACGCCGAGTCAGTTAGGTCAAATACACCACTATCCATACACCCCTCAGCACACCTTCACACCCTGCCGCACCACCCCGCGTCCACCCTGGTCCGTCGAACTCACCTGAACACCTTTCCGGCCAGGAAGCGTAGGTTGTCCTCGGAGAGCGGCTTGCCGGTGGCCGATTTGAACTTTGTGCTGAGCGCGTCGGCCACCTGAGCCCAGGAGACGCGCTCGGGGATGGCGAACGGGATGCGGCCCGGCTCGGCGAACGCGTTGTCCCAAGTGACGGTGGCCCAGGCGTGCGGCTCCTGGTTGCCGTGGACGATCACCACCACGGGTAGGGAGAGCGTCCACACCTGGCGGACAGGGAGAGCGAGGGCTGGGGTGACGCCTGGGACAGCGAGTCTCCGGTGGTACAGAGACGGGGGCGGACGGCATGGGGCGATGACTGGAATCACAGCCCAGCGCCGGTGCGTGAAGCATACACGGATGTCAGGCGAAAACGAGAAGCCGGCGTTCGCGAGAAGCATCACAGAACCACCGGCTCAATGTCGGCCAATACGAGCACGCCGCGGTCAATGGGAAAAGGTTACAGCGGGGCTGCGGCGGCCTACCTGGAACACCAGCTCGCCGCCGCCCACGGTGAACTGCGACTGGAAGAGCAGCGAGAACTTCTCGTCCATCACCGACTCCGTGCCCTTCTTCTCGGCGCGCTTGATCTTGCGCAGCTGCATGTTTCTGAAAGGAGCAGAGAGGCGCAGGCGTTAGTACAGACAAGACGGAGCGTCAGGTCACTGCCTGGCAGGTCAAAAATGGTAACTAAATGAGAAATGCGTAGGTGTCAGTCAAACCACTACCATTATTACAATCGCAGAAAAGAGAAACCCCAACCATCATTTAACCAGAAGCGTTAATTAACAAAATATGCGGCAGCGTATCGTTTGCTGCTGCTGACAAGTTCTCTGTAAGTATTCGCGCTGCGTCGCATTAGGTTACCATGGCAAACAGCGCCCTCGCAAATTACGAACACCGAGATAGGCACCAGTATCGAGAACCGACATCGCATGTCGTATTTAGGACCGCACAGCTCTGACGTGCGTCACGGATGACGCACGGCGAGCGGTGCGCAGGGAAGGAGGAGGGAGCCGCCCCGCCCCGACCCAGCTCCGTCTGCCACGGACCTGAAGTTGACGGCCAGCTGGCGGGTGGCCTGGTGGTACTCCATGGTGCCAGTGTTGTTGAGGATCTCGCCGCTGGCGTCTCCCTTGTTCATCTTGTCGTTCTTGAGCAACAGGTTGGCCTGACCTTCACTGATGATGGTCACCTGGCGGTTGGGCACACACACACGATCAGCGGCATTCACATCCAAACAATCCCTCCTCGAACAACATATGGCTCTTAGATATAAAACATATGTGCCGATAGGAAGCAAAAATGGTTGGAGAAAAAACAAAATATTGCATCTAGTTAGTCTCCGAGCCGCCAGCAAGTGAGTAAACTACACCATTACAAAAAAACGTAAAAAATAAAAAATACACAAAAAAAAACATGGTAATACCATTCGGAGGGACCATTCCTCTCCGCACCGTGTATGTACGTTATTCCGTCCCAGTTCATCTATCTGCCGTCCCAGGAGCGCCATAGGACGGCCGCCCCACCCGGGAGCGGTGGGCGGGCCCTCGCGTCTCCCCCGAGAGCACACGCTCGGGATTGATCCAGTCAGGTTACCATGCCAACCGCGCCGTTCAGAATCAACAGCGGGCATATACATGCGCGCACATATCCATCGACGCATTAACAGTCAGTTAGCAGGAAATAGAACTTATTATCGACAGTGAAACGCGCCGGTGTATTGTATTGTATTGTACTTATCGTGGCAAGCCGATCCATCCGAAAATGGCTATTATTAGCTGCCGAGTCAGGTGAAACGAATGAGGTGGGCACAACATTACATACAACACACACGCATCACATTTGCACACATATCCACATTTGCGCCACCGCGCCGCTACACACTGGCCGGGTCGCCGTGTTGCTCACGCAGTAGGAGCTTCCGATACTCCCTCCGAAAGAGCCTGTGACCGAGATTGCGCAGCGCCTGAGGCAGAGCGTTATACTGCGATACAGTGGCGTATAGGAACCGGCGGCGCCCGGATTCCGTTCTAATCACGGGTAAATCGAGCAGGTCGGCCTGACGCGTATCACGCCCATGCACGCTACCTCGCGACACAATCGCGTTGGATAGGGCTTCGGGCTCTCCTGTCTCGAGGATTTTCTTTAATAGCGTGACAGACTGTAGACGCCACATATTCTCGGCCGAGAGCCACCGCAACTCTTTCAGCACTTCGCTTACATGGTCATACTTCCGCTTGCCCGACACAACACGAGCACCGAAATTGATAAGCCGCTGGAGCCGAGACATCTGGGTGACACCACATCCACCATAGACAACAATGGCGTACCGGATCGATGAGACTACTAGAGCCTGAACCAGAGTGGCCAGCGTACTTTTCGGTAGGTAGTGCCTACTGTGACTCAGGCCGCTCAGAATACCGGTGCATCGGCGGGCTACATCAGTCACATGATTTGAGAAGGTCATGCTCTCGTCAAAAGTGACGCCGAGGTTTTTAGCTGAGGACGTTCCCACAGTAGTGGTACCCATGAACCTGATTTCTATCGGGGCTAGTTGACGAATTTGCTGCCTTGTGCCCAAAACAATGATCTGAGTTTTATCTGCGTTAATCTTTAGCCCATTTTTTCGGAACCAGAGTGACAGAGCTGCAAGGTCCCGCTCCAACTGGGTTACCATAGCTCCGACATCGCTTGGACTCCCCAGTACAGCTAGCTGCGTGTCATCACAGTATTGTACAAGACAACGATCGTACAAGGCACCTTCCGGCAAAAACAGTGACATATCGGTGGTGTACACGTTGAACAACAACGGCCCGAGCGCGGATCCCTGATAGGTGCCGATGGGGTTGTCCAAAGGCCGTGACAGAGTACCACGACCGTCCGGTGTACGAATCTGGACTTGTTGTTGGTGATCGGCAAGATAACTGGAGAACCAGCGGACGTCGACGCCGTACTGCTCAAGTTTGACGAGCAATCGGTCGTGGGGTATCACGTCAAAGGCCTTAGATAAGTCCAGCATACAAAGTAGCGCCACCTGTCGTCGATCCATCGCCTCAAAAACCCTGTCAGTTAAGGTCAGAAGTGCAGTTTCGGTAGAATGGTTGTTTCGGAAACCATGCTGGCTGGGGGAAAAGAGATGATGGGCTGAGAGGTAGGAAAAAAGTTGCTCATATACTACTCGTTCAGTGATTTTGGCGATCGTTGGAAGGATGGATATTGGTCTGAAGTTCGATGTCTCTGTAGATTTAGGATTTTTCTGGATGGGATGGATCACTGCGAGCTTCCATGACCGAGGGACTGTGTGAGACGTTAAACAAGAATTAATAATGTGCGTGATGACGTGGCAAATTGGTTCAAAACACAGTTTGATGAAACGCATGCTGAGTCCGTCGGCGCCGCATGCTGAGCTGTTGTTCATTTGGGCCATAATACTGACTAATCGTTCCGGCGTAACGGGATGAACCTGAAAGCGTCCCGAGGTAACCCGAGGCAGACGCACAGGCAGCTCGGGACCTGAGGTGTCTACTTGTCTCGCAATCTGGGTGCCAACATCAGCGAAGTAGCGATTCATGCTATCGGCATCAGCACTCGGCATTTGTTTCGATGTCCGTTTCCCCGCCAGAACTGGACCAATAGCACGCCACATGCCGCCCCGGCCGCTCTCCTGAATGCGCTGCTGCAGGGCGTTACGGGTGTCACGGCGGATAGCAGCCTTAACCTGCCGATTCAGGTCCCTGTATCGCTCTCGGTCTCCGAGTTGTAAGCACGCGCGCCGGTGAGCGCGGCACACGTACACGTGACGCCGGGTTCTGAGACGGACGGACGCGCCGGGCTGCCGAGGGGGCGGGGAGTGCGAGCAGGCCGGCCGGTCGGTCGGTATTACCTACCTTCACCTGCGGCGGCGACATGTGCACGCTGAGTTTGGCGCCCACCAGCAGTCGCACGGTGGCCGTGAACCGCGTGTTAGTCTTCATCACCTGCGGCGGCTGCTTCTCGATAATGAACGTGCTGTCGGAGCGCGCAGGGATGCGGCGTAAGATGGAAGAACACCCCGACAGGCAACCATGGCTCCTGTAATCAGTGGCTCAAATTCTGCTACGACGACTGAGGTTGGTGTTTTCAGTTTTACGAACACTAGACGCTATTACCATTTTGCCTAACCATCCCCAAAGGTTCTCCAATAGATGTCCTTTGAACCGATCGTTGCGGGATTCACGATCGTCCCAGTAATCGTCTCCTGACCCGTGATCGTCCCACCTGGTGACCAGCGATGAGAGCAGCTGGGTGATGTCCTGGTTGAGCTGCGGCAGGATGTCCACGCCGCCCGGCGGGTCGATCGGCACGCGCTGCCGCAGCCGCTCCACCTCCTTGATCTGGTGGCGCGTCTCCCAGATGATCACTGAGAGCTCCTCGCACCTAAAGGGGCAAACGGAGACGGCAGGCGTCAGACACAGGGACCTTCGGGGCACGAAAGACGACTAAGGTTCGACAACGAGGAAGGAATTATAAATCAAAGACCACCGAACTTACAAATTACCGACCCCTGTGGCCAGAGCAAGTACTAGGGTTATGAGAACGGCAGACAAACTAGGTGAGATATTTATTACGAACACAGCACTACCAGCAACAAGAGAGACACCACCACCAGGGGCCGCCGGCCTGGTCGCTCGCTCTCACCATTCCTGGATCTGGTCGAGGTTGTTGCTGAAGGGCGCGCCGTTGCCGGCCAGCTGCTGCTCGCGCTTCCACCGGATCAGTTCCTCGTCTAGCACGCGCGACTGCACCTGGGTCAGCAGCGAGACCGTCTCCTTGTGCTTGTCAGCCAGCGCCAGGCGCATCTGCAGCAGTCCAGATACCTGGCCGGGAGCGAGACAACGGTCACATACGGGCAACGGCACACAGGTCATCGCCCTAAGTCGACCTCACCCAAACAAAAAGCATATCATTTGATGCGCCTAGCCATGACAAAAACGATGGAGGAAAAGTCGCGGCTCTGCGACTAAGTTCAGCAAAATTATTTAACAAAACCAAACCCCTTCCTTGGAGCACTTAGGTCACCGGTTGACCTGAGACCGTAACATTGGGGTGGTTGACCTGAGAACTTAAAATCGGGGTAACAGTTTGTTTACGTTTGCTAATTTGGTAAATCAAGCAGCAAAACATAAAAATGAAAAAAAAAACATGCTTAGAAAACATTCGCTTTTAACATTCACCCGATTGGTGTTCAGCTGCTGAACAATGCTGAACTTCAGCATTGCCAACTGCTGCAATTCTTAGCGTTCTCCATCCACAAAGAGAGCACGTGCCTTGCCCTACATTCGGTCGTGCAAATCCAATACGTCCCCGCCCATAGCGCCGAGAGACGGCCTGGCGTTGCCTCTGGCCGCCGGCAGTGTGTGCGTACAGCGCGGCCCGGCAGTGCGCCGGGATCGATAGCTGCTCTCCGGACCGTCTCAGCGGGACGACCGCTGGGACTGACGGACCCTATGTGAGCGCGCACGTGTCTGTGTGTGTGCGGAGGGCCGGCAGAGCGCGACAGAGGGCGGAGGTCGGTACTGCAGCGCGCCCTGGACATGTGATCAGAGGTGTGACGGCAGCTGCCGTCTGATGTGTGACAGCTGTCACGGCTCGGCGCTGCCGGTCCGTCAGCCGCCGCCGCCGGCCGCCACATCCGCCGGCGGCCCGGCAGAGCTGACGCCGAGCTGCGAAGCCCGGCCGACGACCGGCACTCGCCTTCGTGGAAGCGGGATATTGACGGGGTGTCGGTGCGGCGGAGCGCGGCGGCCGTCGGCAGCGGCGGCCCGGGCTCGGCCCGGTGGCCGGGTCAGCGGGTCCGCGGCGGCAGAGCGCTGACCCGGTCACCGGCGCAGTCGTGCGCCACGACACACCAGCCGCCCGCCATTAGCCCGCCGGGTCCTGTTCGTACCGGCGAATGAGCTCATGCAATCGGGGCGCACCGGCCATTTTATAGCGGCGATATCGCCATAAAATCTCAGATAATTATCTAACGACGAAACGGCCAGGAAAGGCCGTAAGGAGCGCCTACTCACAGGCCGTCAGTTTCCGAATCAAACGCGTTCCGTGACGTGAACAGCTCGTGAGCTGCGATGTGATCTGTTGACTGACGTCACCGCTGTGAATAACTACCTCGGCCGTTCGTTCCCTGGCAAATGGCTCTCCGTTCCCAGCACACTGCGTCATGGGTGCACCCCCGCCCACGCCTTCCGTGAACGGCGAGATTCCATGTTCGCCGTAGGGCGGGCTGGGCGGCTGGTAACGGGCCGTGCCGCGCGGCCAGTCTGCGCCGCGCGGCTCGCGGCGGTAGCTCGCGGCGGCTGGCCGATAGGGGCGGCTCGAGTGGCCGCTGTGTACTGTCCGTCTGTGTCAACACGTCGCCGACTGTTTACTGCAGTCAGTGGCGCGGCGTCGTAACCGCTTCAGCCGGCAGCCGTACCGATGGCAGAGTAGCGTCCCCCCTCCCTCCCCGGGTCTCCACTCCGACACCCACCTTCTGCGTCAGGGTGGACTCTGTCAGCTCCTTCTTCCTCTTCAGCTCCTTCTCCTGCTCGACTCCGAGCGGGTTCTGGCCGCGCTGGCCCTGGATGTGCTGCAGGGTGGCTGTGGGCGCACGGAGACAGCCCGTCAGTGACCGGGCGGCAGGCGAGGCCAGTCAGCCAGTGACCAGGCGGCAGACACGGCCGGTCAGACAGTGTCCAGACCACCGACACACCGGCTCAATGGGCCACAGCTCACAGATAATGACCACAGACAGTAAACAAGCATTACGTAAACGAACACAAAATGAGCGCAACTGGCCTGACCTTAGTATCTCTCGCTTTATTCTACGGACGCTCAGCACACTACTCACTGGCCATATAATTTCACCTAGCACATTAATGTCTAATTTCCACCAAATATAGTGCGGTCGCGGAACATTTTCTTCTCGGAATGTTCAGCATAAGTCTGAATTATTGGTTTCAAACTGCCACAATCATATGCAGTCAATCAGGCTATGATATGTCGTCCCAGCTCGATTTCCCCAGCAGCAGCAGTGTCTCCGGCGTCCCCATACCCTGAGGATGTAGTACACCGACCGCGCTGCCGCCTTCCCGTCAACAGCAGACGGCCTGCAGCAATGTCTCCCGGCTGTTCGGGCCGGAGTCCGGCAAAAGGTCGCCGCCCGGCCGCCCCCGCCCACCGCCAACCCACCCCGCCCGCCCGCCCGCCCGCCGCCCACCGCCGACCCACCCCGCCCGGCCGCCGACCCACCCCGCCCGCCAACAGCGGCGAAGAAAGTCGGGCGGCCGGCCGGCGCTTCCCCGAACCCATTACCAAGTAGCCTCTCGAGGGTGATAGACGGGTCGGGGTGAAGAGAAGGGCTGGAGAGCGAGCGAGTGAGGCGCAGATGGGGCGCGGGAGCAGATGTGGCGAGAAGGAATGGAAAGATGAGGGGAAGGGAGGAAGCGGAAGAAACAATGACAATGTTTATGCATGTAAACATCCCTGTGCTCAAGCAGACGGCTAATAAAAGGAAGGTAAATGAAAAGCTCAGCGTATATCGACCGAAAAAAATTCAGGGGATGCCTAGCATATCACACACATCTTAAGGCGGCATGGGTGCACCCCCGCCCACGCCTTCCGTGAATTATACGAAAACACTGGATTATACGAAAACTTCACTCATTTCAAAGCTTGGCACCAGGTAGCACCGGCTTCTGCGTCTCAGCAGTAAGAAGCCTTCCTTTCCCTCTACCATCCAGTGACCGCCCACCCGGCCGGCACACTACTACCACAGTGATCCCACCGCCAGTCGCTCCACGTCGGTCGCCGCCCCGGTCCGGGGTACGGCCCCTGTGGCCGCCCTGCGTGACAGCCCGTCCGGCCGACTGCCGACGGTACAGCGCGCCTTTTTACCGCGTCACCAGCCGTGCGGACATGCGGCAGACAGTCCCCGATTGGCATCAGTCTGGCCACCTTACCGCGCCGCCGCCGCCGGGACATAATGAACGGGGCGCGGCCACAGGTGGGCCGCCATGGCTGTCGCTTACAGCACTGTCTAGACCGGCACGGAGGGTTGCATGTCACCGCTATGTAAATTGAATACACAGAACTTGTCACTGGTTCCACAGAATGTGATGTAGCTTCCGATCCATTATTTACAGAGCTTATGAAGAAAAAAAAAACGCAAACACTGATCGCAAAAGGGTTAAACTACCAAATCAGCCCAGCTTTGCAAAGGCGGCGCATGACCATAAGACGTCAGTTGTTCATCGGCAATGTTTTCCTCAGTTCTTATCCGGCTATGCTTTAAATCGCATTGCAATGGAGAACAGAAAGCTCCCGTTAGTTTGTGGATTCACAACTCTTCTCTCAAGTCTCATCTCATGCAGGGATAGATAGTCTTCGTAGTCAGAAATTTTAGCCTTGCGATTGCTCTCTAAAACGTTTTATACAGAATGCACGGCTACGAGCAATGAACATTTAACTGACCACTCGTTCGTTTAGCGCATCATTGCTGTATGTCCTTTGAAGCTGTTTCTTAGCGTTGGGCACGCACGTAAGACAGAAAACAGTATTTATGAATGATTATCAACCTCAAAGTGAAATATGAGCGAAGCTCCTTTCAGCCTAAATAACTGACGGAAATGGCAAACATGTGGGCAAGAGAACAAAACAATGCAACAATATATTTTCACATTAAAGTTCACCCACGCGGCAACTTCTTTCGATAAAAAAGCAGCTAACTATTATTGCATGCATGTTGCGTAGTTCGCTATCTCTGCAGTCGGCGTTTTCTTTTAATAAGGAGCTACTAAATTAAAGCACAAGGTGTTACTAGCTGACTCTAGTCCGTTCCAGTCTAATAGGGACAAAGTCCCTTCCTCCTCTGCCGCAGCTCTCCCACCTCCCAGCGACTGACCGTTGAGTTTGGCGCACTCGTGGTACTGGATGGCGAACGACTCCTGTTCCTGCTTCATCTTCTCGTAGTCCTCGCCGGCGTCGTGGACGCGCTGTCGCAGGTACTGGATCTGCTGGATAATCTCCGAGGCCGTGTCCGGGATGAGCGCCATCCCGCCGGGCGCCATGCCCTGCAGACCAGTCTGGGGGACGGAGCGGGCGTCACACGCCGCCAAACGGCCGGGAAATACACAGCCTAACGTCACACAGAACGGAATGTCAGCCACCGCCAGACGGCCACCACCAGAACACTGTCCGACGAGACAAACACATGTCACGTTTTTAACCCAACACACATTAGTGCCTCCATGTCAAGCTTTAGAACATTTTTTTTCTGCGCCCCAGATGAAGCCTTATTGCCTATATGCATACTGGATGACGCTTTTCCTGCAGGCCTCACCGGATGTGGAGACATCACATGTAAATCGGGCGGCCGAGCGAGAAAATTGCCTGGCTGACACACTGCCGCCAACGACTGCCGCGGCCGACGGGTAGATCCTCGGTCCGCCCACCACACTGCCGTCCCGGCGGCCGCGGGGTGGAGCCCCAGCCCGCCCGCCACACTGCCGCGGCCGCAGGGGAGGAGCCCACCCCGACAACCACACTGCCGGCCCGGTGGCAATCATGTGCCTGGAGTCCCAGCCCCCTCACCACGTACCTCGTGCTGTGTGACCAGCTTCAGCTCCCAGTTGAGCGCGTGCTGAATAATACGGACCAGCGAAAGCGAGTTTTGCGGGTAGCGCGCCTGAAACAAGGACGAACACTGTCAATGGCAACTGATGGCTACAGGAGAGCTGGGCTCAGAGCTCAAAATGTAAAACAATATGAAGACTTTTAGTCCACCCGACTATGACTACAAGCGTATGCTATCTATCTAAAGTAAGCCTAGCCTAGCAACAAGTGGAAGAGGGATGCAGGTATCGGCAGAACCTACATCATAAATAATGACGGGCATATAACATGGTCGGCAGCCCCGCCACTATTTTACGTCATTGCAAAAAAAAAAAAAAAACACCGCACGCAGGAGGTTAGATAGCAGCAGTGGAACCAGCCATATAGACAAGCGACGAGAAAATACAAAATACACACTTAATAACGTAGCAACAACGTGCGCGCGTCCCTCATTTAGCGACTGCCGATGAATACATACTACTGGGGTTTTACGAAATCTGGAGAAACAAACAGCCTAGACGGTAGTGTTTAAAGGTAGGTACAACACCCAGTCACCACGAGAGACATTGGCACTGACGACACCCACAAACGTCCCTAACAGATACATATTATGTAATCGATGGTAAACACGTGCTGCGGAGCTCCACACACGGCTGTGTCTGAGCCACATCAGCCAATAACTCCGGACGGACCGCGGAGCCAGGCGCCCAAATGGCACTGCAACCATGCGGATACACGTGGGATGCCGAGTTACTGGCCGCCAAATTGTGTTAGGCAAGTTAGCCGCGTTCCGTGAATGAGAACGCGATCAAATGCGGCTGTCAATTTTCCAATCAATCCAATGAAGGATCCTATTTGAACAGCAGTGCTTTTCACAACGTGGGCTTATTTTTAGACAATGGTCAAAGAAAGAAAAACTAGCAAATTCAGATAGAAATTTGGTGAGTGCTGCACCGCGGAATGATGAGCAGAATAATCCGATAGAGCTGTTACGGCAACCCATGCATCGCCAGAGATGATTATTAAAAACTAACTTAACTACCGCAGTGAACTGCCAAAGCTTCCACTTTCCAGCATACCGCAAAACTTCCCCACATGGTATCGACGGCCGACCTACGATCTCGATCGTGCCAGGAATCGTGGCATCGGGCGCTGCCCTAATACGCAGCGCGCCTGTCAATGGCCCTGACCTCTCCAATACGCCGGCGGGGGCCCACTACGGCAGCCGGTCAGGAACAGGGCGCCATTCAGTCGGCGTCAGCGCCCCGGTCCCGGCCGACGGCTGACCGGACCCACTGACCCGACTACGACCACCAGATTCAGTTCAGAGCCGCCCGCAGCTGATGAACGATTATGAATTCACTCCGAACACTTCACATCCACAAACATGATGGGCATTGTTCAATCCCATTAACTTGAGCGTGACTTTTGCGACCTCACTGGATAAACATAGCAACGTAAGCACAAAACCTTGGCGCCCCACAGTTGCCAACGAAGTTCCCCGGCTCCATTCAGGGACCGATCCAGCCAGCCGCAGCCCCGGGCGGAGAGCCCCCGCTCCATTGATGGCCCGAGCTGGACCGCTCGCCGCCACACGCGGCCGGCCCTGTTCCGAGTAGGGCTGAGCCGGCCGGACGACCGGGCGGGTCGGCGGCGGTACTTCCCCGGGGAGACGCCAGCCGGCGCGCCGCCGCCGGCACGGTCGGACGGCTGTCCAATAAGGCACCGCTGCCTCCTCCGGCGGAGCGGCCCCGGGGACCGAGACCGGGCGGCGTCACAGCCGCCAGCCACAGAGCAGCACACGGCACATACAGAGATGGACCGCCACTGGGTCAGCCACAGCACAGCACAGCGCACGGCACATACAGAGATGGACCGCCAGTGGGCAGACACAGCCACAGCACAGCACACGGCACATACAGAGATGGACCGCCACTGGGTCAGCTACAGCACAGCACAGGGCACCGCACATACAGAGATGGACCGCCACTGGTCAGCCACAGCACAGAACAGCATACGGCACATACAGAGATGGACCGCCACTGGGCAGCCACAGCACAGGGCACCGCACATACAGAGATGGACCGCCAGTGGGCAGACACAGCCACAGCACAGCACGCGGCACATCAACCACAGCACAGGGCACCGCACATACAGAGATGGACCGCCACTGGGCAGCCACAGCACATCGCACCGCACATACAGAGATGGACAGCCACTGGGCAGTGGGCAGTCACAGCCACAGCACAGCGCACGGCATATACAGAGATGGACAGCCAGGCACATACAGCGAGTGGATCAGTCACAGCCACAGCACAGCACACGGCACAAACAGAGATGGACCGCCAGTAGTCAGCCACAGCACAGCACACGGCACAAACAGAGATGGACCGCCAGTAGTCAGCCACAGCACAGGGCACCGCACAAACAGAGATGGACCGCCAGTGGTCAGCCACAGCACAGGGCACCGCACATACAGAGATGGACTGGGACGCGGGACAGGCGCAGAGCAGCAGGAGCCTCATACAGAAGTGACCGGGCACGGTGCATACAGAAGAGATCAGTGGACAAGGACAGAACTATAGGGCAGCGCAGCAACTTTGAGGAGAGGAATATCGGGACACATCCGACATAACAGCCAGGGGTCGGCAGCAGGCCGGGAAGAGGATGGTTGGTACCGACAGGCAGGACGACATGGGACAATGATTTTCAAATTCAACAGACTCCTTCAATGAGTCACGAGACATTGTTATTCGTGAGTGAAAGATTACGTCAATACGTCATGAATTATTTTTAAACAAGCGAGACTAGTGTAAATTCATGCAAGCTCAACTAACTTCCCACTAGATCCGGCGTACCCCTCGTCATGGCCCACCTTGAACATGTTGGCGCAGTCTGTGAGTTTGAGTTTGACGACGAACAGCTCGTCGGTGCTGGGCAGCGAGGTGGCCTTGTTCTCCAGCTCGGCGATCAGCGCCATCACTAGCTGGCTGGCGTACTGCTCGTGGGTCGGATCGTCCGGGTTAATCTCCTGGAACTGACTGCAGAGACACGGCGGGGGGAGCGGGGGGGGGGGGGGCGGTCACAGGACGGCACACGACAGCGGGGCTCAGGTCAAGGGACGATACTCGGCGATCGGGCGGGTCGAGGTCACAGAACGGCAGCGACACGGGTCACAGGTCACGGAGGTCACGGTGAAGCCACCTATTATTATGGGGGTTGGAGGACAATGTGGTGGCGGTGAGAGGTCACAGTAGGGCTGAGAGGTCATGGAGGGGTCAGAGCCAGGTTGCAGTAGGCAACAATGAGAGGTCACGATAGTGGGGAGGAGAGGGTCAGGCTTACCGAAGTAGCGGCAACACCAGCGACCGGTAATAATGCAGTAGCAAACAATGAAACAAAGGAATCATCAGCAAAGCTCATATCAAGAAATGACCCATGAATATGTTGCAACTCGATAGGGAGCCATATGGAGATAAGGTGACGGGTGTATCTTTGGGAGGAGCGAGCTGGTGATATGACTTTCGATTATTGATCCCAGATAAGTTTATCTATCAAATCGTTGAAGGGTATAGCACGGGGAAGGCCACACCAAACGGTCCGGCGCGCCCGGCAACAGGCGTTGGTCCGGCGCCCAGCCCTTATCAGATGGAGCTTGATATCCGGCTCACATGGGACAGGCCCGATTCTCCTCTGGTGATCACATTACAGACATATTTGGCGCCGGTACACAGTCCGGACGGAGACTGATCTATTCGATTTGCGCCCGGCATTATGTAATGTGAACAAAACTTGCAATGGGAACCAGGGGCATGCATTATTTCCAACCAAGCCTGTGTTCCACGCGACGAATTACATAATGGAAGCAAATGCAATTATGTAGATGACTTCTCGCGAACATCATTTCACACTGCTGTTGTACACACGGATACAGGTAACTCAGAATAGCAGCCTGATTCGCGCCATAATTGCAACGCCTAGTTAAGGAATACCAGAAGCTGAACGAGCACAGAAGAAATAAAATATTTGCAATAACTAAAGATCAAACGAAAATGAGCATCCACATAATAAATTGGAGGCTGCCTATATTGTTCTCTGAGCCTGGAGAGCTACCATTATAATTAATACATCCCACTCCACCATTCTCGATTTGCGCGCCCGTGTTTATCAATCAGTAGTGCTGCGCCCCGGCCCGGCGCGCGGTCTGATGGGCGGCCACCTGCTACCGACGTGGGCCGCCGGGAAACCGACCAATTGGACGGCTGTGACTCACATCAAGGAGAGCGCTGCTTTGATCCTCCACATTCCAGTAGGGTGACCGGTTTTGCAAAAAGTTTCGAAAAGTTTTGCTCCCCAGGTCTAATCTAACGTATTTGGTGGTGCTGATCACGAATCCGGCGGAAAAAATATAAAATTCGAATTTTTTTTTACCGCCCCGGCTCTTTGAATATTTCCGGTTTTCTCAATTTTTGCATGTTTTTGAATAATATGATGAATGTAATGAAAATTTATTAACAATGTATCGCTAAATGCATGTACCAGTCGATTCGGCATACAGCGGCGTCGAAATCGGCATGCCGCCTGCTTCACCGGCCTCGCAGGAAAGCATAAGGCTCGGAAGGTTTGCGTTAGTTACCCGATTCTCTCCATAGATGGCGCTGGCGTAGCCGCCCGCCGGCCGGTCGTTGCCGTGCCGTTCACAGCCCCGGCAGTCACTTGCGACCGTCGTGGTCGTTATGCTACGTCTATCAAAGCACGACAGAAATGTTCACTTTATTTTTATGTTACTTCAGACCATTTTAGACCTAATGTTGAATTGGATAAATGACTATCGTGAATTGGCGAAATAGTGGAGTGCGCTCGGGAGCCATTTACAATAGCGAGGAACGTAGGTGGATTGATCTGAGTAACATATGACACTGCGTTCACGGTTGATATGAAGTTTATTCACACTATGTAGTCGGGTGACATGAGAACAAAGTGACTAACATACCTTGTGTACGACAGGCGACACATGGATGAAGCTAATGCTACTTTTTCATTTTGTTTCGGTAGGCCCGTTTGTTCAGAGCGTAGCCGTCCTGTCGGTCTGCGCCTGTTACAGCTGTGACTGATTCGGTGGTCAGCTTTACAGCCCTTCCGGTGGATTGGGTATGGCAGGGGACCCCCGTTTTAAGGGGAGTCTGTAGAAAGTCGCGCAACTCATCCTCGCTCATGTGCCGTACAGAAGGGGGCTCAATGTCTCGGCCCTCGTCAACCGCTCGCTGCACGTTAACCAGTTCCATATAGTTGTTCGCTTGAACGTTAATTTCCGGCAGCCGGAAGTGCCGAATGGGCTGCTGCTGTGGCGGTGGGGGTGGCAGCTTTGGCGGCGGTCGTGGCGGCGGTGCCGGCGGCGGTGGTGGTGGTGGTGGTGGTGGTGGTGGTGGTGATGATGGCCGCCGCCGTTTCAGACGCCGCTGCTGCTGTTGTGGCGGTGGCGGCGGTGGCGGTGGTGGTGGTGGCGGTGGCCGCCGCCTCTGTCGCCGCTGCTTCTGCTGTGGCGGGGGCATGGCATTATGGCAGATGCAGTCCGCATAATCCAGAGCATTCGTCAAAAAAGGCAGCGACAGGAGCAGCCGCCGTTCCCGCCCCCGCCACAGCAGAAGCAGCGGCGACAGAGGCGGCGGCCATCGCCACCACCACCACCGCCACCGCCGCCGCCGCCCCCGGCGCCGGCGCCGCCGGCACCGCCGCCACAGCAGCAGCAGGGGCGTCTGAAACGGCGGCGGCCATCACCACCACCACCACCACCACCACCACCACCGCCGCCGGCACCGCCGCCGGCACCGCCGCCACGACCGCCGCCAAAGCTGCCACCCCCACCGCCACAGCAGCAGCCCATTCGGCACTTCCGGCTGCCGGAAATTGACGTTCAAGCGAACAACTATATGGAACTGGTTAACGTGCAGCGAGCGGTTGACGAGGGCCGAGACATTGAGCCCCCTTGTGTACGACACATGAGCGAGGATGAGTTGCGCGACTTTCTACAGACTCCCCTTAAAAAGGGGGTCCCCTGCCATACCCAATCCACCGAAAGGGCTGTAAAGCTGACCACCGAATCAGTCACAGCTGTAACAGGCGCAGACCAACAGGACGGCTACGCTCTGAACAAACGGGCCTACCGAAACAAAATGAAAAAGTAGCATTAGCTTCATCCATGTGTCGCCTGTCGTACACAAGGTATGTTAGTCACTTTGTTCTCATGTCACCCGACTACATAGTGTGAATAAACTTCATATCAACCGTGAACGCAGTGTCATATGTTACTCAGATCAATCCACCTACGTTCCTCGCTATTGTAAATGGCTCCCGAGCGCACTCCACTATTTCGCCAATTCACGATAGTCATTTATCCAATTCAACATTAGGTCTAAAATATGTCTGAAGTAACATAAAAATGAAGTGAACATTTCTGTCGTGCTTTGATAGACGTAGCATAACGACCACGACGGTCGCAAGTGACCGCCGGGGCTGTGAACGGCACGGCAACGACCGGCCGGCGGGCGGCTACGCCAGCGCCATCTATGGAGAGAATCGGGTAACTAACGCAAACCTTCCGAGCCTTATGCTTTCCTGCGAGGCCGGTGAAGCAGGCGGCGTGCCGATTTCGACGCCGCTGTATGCCGAATCGACTGGTACATGCATTTAGCGATACATTGTTAATAAATTTTCATTACATTCATCATATTATTCAAAAACATGCAAAAATTGAGAAAACCGGAAATATTCAAAGAGCCGGGGCGGTCAAAAAAAATTCGAATTTTATATTTTTTCCGCCGGATTCGTGATCAGCACCCCCAAATACGTTAGATTAGACCTGGGGAGCAAAACTTTTCGAAACTTTTTGCAAAACCGGTCACCCTAACATTCCAGCTGCACATAGCGCGGCTGGGCGGCGAGTCGGGCAGCGGGATGGGCCCACTGCGGGCCTCGGGCCGCCGCTAATGGCCGCACGCTCAGCCGCTGTCATACGGGGTGCGTATTATTTAGGCCAGTGTTCATAATGTCCAGGGCACAATGTGTCCAGTGCTCGAATTGGCCAGTGCCTTGAATTGGCCAGTGTTCACATTGTCCAGGGATTACATGGTCCAAAAGTGGCCAACTGGCTGCAGATAGGGTAAATTCAAAGAGGCCAGGGTTCATAATGTCCAGGGCACGATGTGTCCAGTGTTCAAAATGGCCAGGGTTCATATTGTCCAGGGCACGATGTGTCCAGTGTTCGAAATGGCCAGGGTTCATAATGTCCAGGGCACGATGTGCCAAGTGTTCAAAATGGCCAGTGCCTTGAATGGGCCAGAGTTCATAGTGTCCAGGGATTACATAGTCAACCCAACCCAACCAAACCTAACCTAACCTAACCTAACCTAACCTAACCTAACCTAACCTAACCTAACCTAACCTAACCTAACCTAACCTAACCTAACCTAACCTAACCTAACCTAACCTAACCTAACCTAACCTAACCTAAGGTAATGATGTTTGCCTACCAGGGATAAGGAAATAGTTTCTCGCATGAATAGATTGCAAGCAATAGTAAATCAAATATTTTTAGGTTAAGTGGTTATGCATCAGGCTTCAGGCCTTCGGCCTGAAGCCTGATGCATAACCACTTAACCTAAAAATATTTGATTTACTATTGCCTGTAATCTCTCCTAAGGCATTGCCTTCGGCACTGCACTGCTTTGCATTGAGGTGATTCCGTGTTTTTTACATAATGACGTCACTTTCAGTGACTATGTACTCCCTGGACATTATGAACTCTGGCCCATTCAAGGCACTGGCCATTTTGAACACTGGACACATCGTGCCCTGGACATTATGAACCCTGGCCATTTAGAATACTGGACACATCGTGCCCTGGACATTATGAACCCTGGCCATTTTGAACACTGGACACATCGTGCCCTGGACATTATGAACCCTGGCCTCTTTGAATATACCCTATCTGCAGCCAGTTGGCCACATTTGGACCATGCAATCCCTGGACATTATGAACTCTGGCCCATTCAAGGCACTGGCCATTTTGACACTGGGCATAGCGTACCCTGGACATTATGAACCCTGGCCAGAATGAATGCTCTCCGTCATACGGCTTTTGAGCACGGTATAACTCCTCGACATGCCGCGCTGCCGCGCCGTACAAACGCACGCTGCGCTAGCCGCCATAAAAGCCGCCGCGTGAGCGTGTCCAAACGAATGGCCGACATAAATCAATGTGGGATTAAAACCGCATGGGTCGCTGTCCTCGCCCCACCCTAACGAGACCAGGCACCCCGGCAGCCAGCCCTCCACCGCTCCCGGTTAGCTGCGCTACACCACAATGTCAAAGGCTGAGCGCGGCGGCGCAGCGCTGTCGGCCGCCTCAGTTTCTAATCTGCCGCCGCTTCCGGGACGGAATGGACGTTTTAGAGCGGCGCGCAGCCCGCTGACGGGCGAGCTGATGGTACTCAGCGTTCATACGGCCGCCATTCGGTATAATCGTGACGCCCAGACGGCCATGGGGCGGTTACGTCACCGGCCTCCACCCAGCGCGGCGGGCCCTCGGACAAACACAACACTCGGCTGGCCGGCGCAGCGGCCCGGTCCGCCATACCGCACATATAGGATACCATTACCCAGTCCACCTGTTTGCTACTGATGTGGAGGCGCTCCTCGGCGCGCACCATTCACCCGACCGCTGACATTTCCACAGCCTACCGGGAACGACGGACGCGGCCCACGCCGGTCCGGCGGCTCCCTGCCACTTCCGCGCTGCACCACCAGCACCGGCCGGTGGCCACGCGCGGTACTCACCACATCTTGGACTCGATCCAGGGCGCCAGGCAGTGGCGCACCTCGATCGGGAAGTGTTCGCCGTAGATCTTCCTCAGAGAGGCCTCTGGCAGCTGCTGCACCTTGTGCCAGAGCGCCATCTCGCTGGTCTGTGGCTGGGACCGGGTGTCGCCGAGCTGCCTGTGGGCGCAGACACGGGGTCAGGTCAGGCCACTGCTCCGGGATCGGGACCACATGGGCTCCGACACAAAACACCGTCGCACGGGCGTGATTCGCGGCATTTACGAGTGCCGTTACGGGCAACATAAAGTCAGCCGAGCCTGCCTGCAGCGCTCCCAATATAACACGCTGCACGTAGGTAAGACAGGTGCGGTAAAAAATTATACTGTTACCGCTGGTAATTATGGGACGTAATGCCACGGACCGACGCGGCATCATCAAGCGCCGGGCGGCGCGCCGAAGGTCGGCTTTAATTTTGTGAAAAGTTAGCAGCGGACAAAAAAGGAAGACTGTTTGAAAGACAGAGCAGTTCTGACTCAGCTCTGGTTTGGAGTTAGACAATAACTCAGAGATAAGACCCAGATTTGGGTAAGAGGATAAGTCTTCAGCTCTTGCCGCAGTAAGGAACGTGCTTAGCAGCACTTCTAGACGGCTGGAATGGCTCAGACCGCAGCTCAGACTGTTCGGATAATGCAAAATCTGAGTTGCACCACTTAAAAATGCAAGCATATCTGGTAATCACGAAGGCAGAATCGCCATAAAACTAAGATTAATTTTCGAAATGAAATTATCCAAAATACAATATATTTCTCACTTATATAACCTGAAGTACCGACCGCCTCCTTTGACAACTCAGTCCAACAACAGGGATGACCAAGATTGCCGGACGAAACAGGTCGAGTCCGCCAGACGCAGACGCCCAGTCTATTGGAAACGATCCGTTATTGTGAGCGCGCCCTTCATCTCTCTCCACAGGTCGGCAAAGCGTCGCCGGAGCTGATACATTATAAGATTACTTTACAGCGATATGCAATCTCCACGACATGTTGCATGCATCAAAATTCCGGCCACGCAGGGCCCGAGTTTTACAGCAGACTCTCATTGCCGTGACCAAACTAGCAGCTGGAGCGCCCGACCGGTCCGGGCCTGCCAGACAGAGCTCTGATGTCCGATACTGGGGCTGTGTGTAAGCTGACACGGCGGTAGGGCCCGGTTATATTCCCAATAAATGAGACACAGCCCCGAGGCGGACGGGACAGCCGAGCGGACAGGGGTATGGCCGAGTCAGTACCAGTCCTGCGGCACCGCCGGCCTGAAAAGACCACAGACAAACTCAGACAAAGCCCGCCAAACACAAGCTCAGCTGTAAAATACCGACCCTAGTCGATTGGAGCGTGTCAATAAAGCGATAATGGCCGATGTATCCTAGCGGTTGGACAAACTAACAACAGTACGGGTGTACTTCTGAAAAATAATTGACAGTCTCAAATGCCGGCATTTCAGACATGTCTTCTCCGAAAAACCAGCAGACCATCTGAGCTTCTGCCGCTACTCGATGGTCCTCTATCGGAGTCCAGTTTTATTTATTGCAGCGTTGTACCCGGACAGCAATGCCACCATTACATAACACCGATCGAAAGGGACGCGTAAGGCGTGATCATTAAGAAGCCAAATATTTGTCAGTTACGATGAGCAATTCAACCTATCCAAAAACAGGTTTTTGAAACAGCAGGTCGACTTATAAAACATGTCAACATACAACAAATCACCCATGTAAAAAATTCACTGAAGAGGAGAAACTGCATATTGCCACACACTAGCCGCAGACCTGACAGTGGCAGCCAGCCTGCTCTGTCCGCTCGCCCGGGCTGCAGTCATCTGAGGCGAGTTTCCAATACAGATCGACTGGCCAGGATAGCTGCAGCCATCTGACGTGAGCTCCCAATACACAGATCGACTGGCCAGGGTGGCTGCAGTCGCCGGGTCCACCGGATCATCGCTTGCGGTAGGCCGCTGCAGTCGGCTGAGCCATCAATGGGTGCCGTCCGACCACGACCGCGCGCTGAGCCTAACGACCAATTAGAGCGGAGAGGTGTCCGACGGGAGCACCGTCGCGGGTCCCCGCGGCCCCCGGCCAGGAATAGTCTGCGGCAGCATCCCATAACCATCGAAACAGAAGAGGCAGGTGTCAACGGGCGCACTGTCGACCCGCACACCCCCTACCAGTGCTGTGACGGCGTCCCATACACAGCACATCTTCCGGTCAGATACGGAGGATGACGGCATCCCATGCACACCGCCGAGTCTCCGGCCAGGTATCGAGTCTGGGACGGCGTCCCATACACACCGCCGAGTCTCCGGCCAGGTATCGGGTCTGGGACGGCGTCCCATACACACCGCCGAGTCTCCGGCCAGGTATCGGGTCTGGGACGGCGTCCCATGCACACCGCCGAGTCTCTGACCAAGTGTAAAGTCTGTGGCGGCATCCCACACACACATCGCAGCCTCCGGCCAGGTATGGAGTCTGTGACGGCGTCCCATACACACCGCCGAGTTTGTGACGGCGTCCCATTCACACCGCGGCCTCCTACCAGGCATGGAGTCTGTGACGGCGTCCCATTCACACCGCGGCCTCCTACCAGGCATGGAGTCTGTGACGGTATCCCACACACAGCACGGTCTCCGGCCAGGCATGTATGCAATGTCAGACATTCTTAACCCTCGCCCATGTAGGGGGCGAGGTTGGTGCAACCCCCCCCCCCCCTAAGGCTTTTCGGAAATAGTGCAAAAACGGCGGCGCGCAGCGCCGCCAAATTTTGGGTACCTTATGGGGCAAACCTTGCGCATCTTTTGATAAAAAAAAATGACCGGGTCATGTCAGGTCACGGAGTTATGACGTCACAAAGGGAACAGCCTCCGGCCGGATTTTCACAAACTGAGTGCCAACGCCCGAGGTTTCCTGCCGATGGTACGGACATCGGTTGATGGATCGTGATGAAACTTCCCATGCATGTTGGGGCAAGTATTGGCTATCATATGGTATAAGAAACTTGACCTGGTCAGGTCAGGTCACGGAGCTATGACGTCACAAGAGGAACAGCGTCCGGTACTATTTTTGAAAAGCGCCCGAACCACTATTTTGCTAATTCTTGTCACCTCAATGGGAATATGCAGCAATATTAGCTTATATAGGGAGCAAATGGACCTCCCAAATCCAAAAATACAATCAGATTTCAAAAATTTAAATTTTGATTTTTCGAATTTCTGCCGCCGACTGTGACCTTGCCGACTTCCGGCGCTCCCAACGCGCCATTTTTAGAGCTAGGGAAACGAAATACATACCAAACGATAGAGAATTGTTCAAGGAACACGATAGTGAAGGTTTCAAGTCGATATCTCCCACCGTTTTGCCGCAATCGCCGCCGAAAGTTGAAAAAAGTCTATTTTTCCGAAAATTTGACCTTTGACCGGTCAAAAGTAGGTCAAATATGTTGACCTAGGACCAAAAAATATACCACCAATCGCGAGATCTCGGCGAGAGCAATCCGTTGGTCTTTTCCGCTAAGCTCTACGACGCTCCGTTTTCAAACGCCAAGGGGGGGGGGGTCGCACCAACCCCCCCCCCCCCCCTGCATGGGCCAAGGTGGCAGATCGCCGTTTACGGGCGAGGGTTAAGGTTCTCAGTGAGCTCTTATAACTGATCTAGGCAGATTACGACTATATAAATGGTATTAGAGGTCCCACACAGTCTATACACGTAAGCCCAACTCATTGTTTTGGCTTGGTCAAAATGCTGCAATTAACTGCGGTCATTTGAACTGTCCCTTTGGGTCAGATCAAAATATACATCTGTTTTTTTTTTAAGATAATGATACAGAAAAAGAATAAAAACATGTGTGATGAAAAAGTGAAACAATGATATCTTTTAACCCGCGCCCCAGTGGCGGTCTCAGTCGACTTCGCCCTAGTGGGGGGGGGGGGGCGAAGTTGACTGAGACCGCCAGTCAACCTTCAACTTAGTTTTTGAGTGAGACCTCTAACTCAAAAACTAAGAGAGCTAGAAAGATGCGGTAAAAAGCAGTCGATAGCTCTCAATGCGTACGTTTGGAAGTATTTCGGTCATTTTTCATCTTAGAGCAATATTGGGGTCACTGGAGGTCATCAAAGGTCAAAATTTGCCAAATGTCATCATATTTTTTCAGAAAACATGCATTTATCTCAGGAACTATGATAGCTAGAAAACGCATGGAAAAGCAATCGATAGCTTTTGAAGTTTGAACTCTTCTCTTGATAAGGTCATCATCAAAATTGACCTCAGGTCAACGGTTTAGCCTCTAGAGGGCAAAAAGTCCAAAAATAGCTGTTTTTACGAAAAGTGTTTTTCGACCATAACTTTTGACTAAAAAAGACAGCCATGACATTTCTATTGCCAGAAGCGTGTTTCTCTCGACGAGACGCATCGAATGAACTATAAGTTAACCTTGAAAGGTCAACTTGAAAATTTGACCTCAGGTCAAGGTCATGACCTGACCGGAAAAGCATATCATTCAATGCGTCTCAACAAGACAAACACAATGAGGCCATCCCCAGCGTCCTATCTCTTTCCAATCGAGAGTTATTGGCAAAAATATGTTTGTAGCCTCAAATGACCTCGGATGACCTTTCTAGAGGCTATTAGCAAAAAAAGACACCTTGGTGGTCACGGGTGGTCCAAATCATTGTGATTCTGAAATATTTGGACTGTTCCTATGCGTACAAACGAATCTAGAGGTATTTTCAATTTTCTCCATTGACTTATAATGGTAAGGTCACGCCACTGGCCTGACCTTAGGTCACGGATATAAAAAATCCGAGATATACAAATTATAGGCCCCCATAACATCATGCAATCCACCAAGTTTAAAACCTTTCTGACAAACACTGCAGGCTGCACATGATTGCAAACTTTTTAAGGCTTGGTCAGTTAACTTGACCTGGTGACCTGACCTGACATGACCTAGCTGGGGTAAAAAATTTCACACATTGTCCAAAATTGATTAACAAAAAGCTACTCCAAGCGGCGCGGCGCTACGCGCCGCGGTTTTTAATTCACACGCAAAAAAACGCGACAGGGTGGTAACAATATGCCCCCCTCCCCCCACTGGGGCGAAGGTTAAGGTTGGCCATTGGCAAGCTCAGTGTTTCCATTTGAAGGTCGTATGAGTAATGAGTATGCGGACCTTACAGAAAAAAACAAAAAGTTGAGTTAGAGTTGGTGATCAAAGTTTTCTGTGTAACTCTTTCACCTAATCAAAGCCATATCTGCCGTGCAAAGATAAACAAACATATGTAGTCTGGGCAAAAAAAAAATGGCATACATGATTCTTCCTTTGCACAACAGATATTGTTATGAAACCACATTTTGAGATTATCATCCAAGCAAATGGATCTCTATGGCATATTCAAAATATTTACAGCTCATCTTCAAAGCTGAAACACAAAGTTCACTGAATTCAGGAGAGTTGTATGTGGTATAATGTTGTGGTATAATGTTTCTTTGAGCATGATGAATATCAATAAAAATGTTAGGAATCACCTTATGTTCATATTATTAGTGAAATTAATCGAAAGAAAGTCCATTGGACTTCCATTGGACATCAAGTTTATTGGACTTTCTTTCGATTAATTTCATTAATAACATGAGCGTGAGGTCAATCCTAACATTTTATTGACTTCCGAAGTCAGCTAGTACAGTTTAAATGCTCAAGTAGAAAGGTAGGTACCTATGCTCATCTGTCAAGCCCATATAATTTCATCTATGGTTTATTTTATCCCTAATATTGATGGAATGGGAAAGAGGGTACCTACAGCTAAAAGGCATCTGAGTTTGAATATAAAATGACTCCTGAAAACAGTACTAAGGTCACCAAGATGGATCATCATGCCTACAATGATAAAAATTGTCACCAGTGCTGTCATAATGGTTGTCACAGAAAATCTTAAATCATCCACTAGAAGAAACACTGTCCTGTTGAACTGAGTACATAGCATACAAGGCTGTTACCATTCCTGATTCAGAAGAAAACTGTCATCAATTACACATTTTACAAAGCAGATCCTATAAAAATACCAAGTTTCAGCTCTCTATCGCCGGTGTGTTCGGAGCTATCGCGAAAAATAAATATAAAAAATATAATATTCTGAGGTAAAAAATGACTTAATACCACCAAATACATCAATGTAAGTCAAGAATAGGTGAATGACTCTATTTCTTAGCACTAGCAAATACACACTACTAAAGCACATGATCTATGTACACATTGTCCATGCTCTTCAGTACATAACGGCACTGTAGCATTCTGAAAGCACAAATTGCAGGGAGCAACTAACATTTTCCTGTTACCTACACGCAATTATTCTGATCAAATACAGAAGTAAAAATATTTCAAAATTCCAGAGCAAAAAAACTTTTACAACTGAATGGGATTGAGTGTTGAAATTTAGGCACACTTCCAATAAGAGTGCACTAGCAATGGTAAAACTACACACCTTTGGTCAATTGCAAACAGACCAACACCATAAAAAATAAAAATTATCAAAAAAAGATGGATGTTGAAAAACCAGAAGCTGTGCAGCACACATTTCTCACCTTTTCAGTTGTAACAATGCTGAGTATCACAAGTTGAAGTAAATATCTTGCAGTCAAGCGAGACGATATCAGACAGGTACCAACATTCCAGGTGAAAATGTGTATATAATATTATGTTATCTCTTCTTCAAAATATGCCTCATATCACAGATTTCTGCAAAAAAAGGCTCGTTATTATTGAGGGAAGGAAAATGGAGCTAACAAGTGCGCAGCAATTGTCGACAATTTAGCACTTTGCGAAAGGCTCTTCCCGGAACAAAGAATCCGTCACAAATTAGGACCAATAATGGTTTGACAATCCAAACAAACGATGTAACACAATGCACTCGCGTCTTTGGCAGCGGTGCGCGTTCTTACTGGTGAGCTCCGGATCCTCCACCCGGGATAACACCCCTCGGCACAAACACAGTGAGCGAACCGCTCGCCTCCGCTCGGCGGCGCACGAGTCAGCGCGCAAGCGCCAACCCAGCGTACGCCGTAGAGCTAGTAGCTCAGCTGCAGGCGAGAACTACGTAGATGGCTAAATCCAAGGCCACCAATACTTTCTTCGCCTTTTTTAGCTGTTACGATTTATTCCCCGTCAGATTTTTTTAATTGGATTTGGATTCACACTCTCATTGATAGTACTATCTACCGTGAACGAACTCATGAGTGCGAGGAACTCCGTGACGCATTGGACTGGACCAGCCATTCCGGGAACGCGGAGCGACGGTTCCGGATCCAAATTGCCTCCACCGTAATCGCGATGGTTTATGACTCGGGGGTTGCGCGGGTGCAACCGGTGTAGTCAGAAATGTTGTGCTGCACGGATGAAAGTCAGGTATACATCTTTACGACTATCAACACAACTAATTCTGGTTTTTCCTCGGCTACCGGATTCAAAGGCACCGTCGGAGGGCGCTGATGTACTAGATAGATGGCAGCACGACTCGATCCACGTATTGCAATTTCCCAAAGGGTGGGGAAAGCGATCTGGCGATTCGCATACAAAACCAGGTCTGCTAGTCATCTCTCCGCTACTAACTATTCCGCGTTCTACCTCTCGCCCTATAGACCAAAGCCTGGGAATATTTCCGGACAGGTGTAAAACAAAAAATGGATGCCATGCGATGAACACACGAGGAAATCGCGAAAAAAACTCTGATCTTAACGAACAAAACCCATGAAGCTGTTAGTGAGGTTAAAACGCCATATACCTACTTTATAAAATTTAATAAACTAAATAATATGTTCTGTTCTCACCTTCGCGAAGTTCCATCCACGCAATGTAGTCGCCTTGCTGAACAAACAGACACTGAAGACCGCTTCACCGATCTCAGGACAGGAGTCCAGGTAGTGCTGTGCGGTCCAGCCCAGACCCTGGCTTCCACTGGTCGGTCCAGCCCAGCCCAGACTTCCATTTGTCGCTCCACTCCAGCTCACTGGTCGGTCCATCCCAGCCTCTCGGGCTTCCACTCGTCGGTCCACCAGTCAGGGCCGACCTGCAACAGCGACCTGTAACATACAGTTATCAGCTTTTTCGCGGCTCGTGCATTATAGTTCAATGCGGTGCCTACAGGATTATTATTGATCATCAGATCCAGCAAGAGGGCATTTTCATATCATGGGACGTTACGGTGACGGGAGAGGAGATATCTACATTATAGGTACATATTAGAGATGTCAATCAGATACCAACTTTTTGGTATACCCCGATACCAAACCGATACCAACTTGGTATTTGGTATTTCAAGGCGAGTGCATTGGGTATTTTATTGGTATTATGAATCCTCACTAATGTAAAAGAGGCTGAGAGTTTGGTAAAAAGTTGGTATTTTCCTCAAATCCTCATATTCCCAAGTTGGTTTGGTTTCGGTATTTTTTCATGGATATTGTTGGTATTTGGTTTGGTATTGGTATCACGATTTTCCGTAAATGACATCACTAGTACATATCACATAGGCCGCGAAAGTACTCGCTATTTTTCCAGGTCTTTTTTATCATGCGTTGCTATTAACCCGCGCCGGGCCGGTGCTCTGAGATTCCGCGCCGGGCCGGGGGGGGGGGTGTCTGAACACCCCCCCCCCCTTCTAACTCGGCTCCTGGGCCACGTAGCGACACGCGGTAAGCGGCAATCGAAAGAACATCCAAAATAAGGACGAAAACACTTCGGTCATTTTTTGGGTCAGGTCATAGGTCAGGTCACCAGAGGTCACCAAAGGTCAAATGTTCACTATTTCAACATTTTGGAAACTGCCAACGGCTATCTCGGGAACCGATAGAGCTACAGCGCCGCGGAAAAGCGCATTCGATAGCCCTTTTACAGACCTTTCTGGGTAATGACCTCAGATTTGACCTCAGGTCAACGGTTTAGCCTCCAGCGGGCAAAAACTCCAAAAATAGCCGATTTTACGAAAAACGTTTTTTCTGCAAAAACTTTTGACTCAAAAGAGCCATGACATTACTTTTGCCACCATCGTGTTCCTCTCGTCGAGACGCGTCGAATAAACTATAATTTGACCTTGAAAGGTCAACTTGAAAATTTGACCTCAGGTCAAGGTCATGACCTGACCGGAAAAGGTCATGTTGCATATCAGTTCCGCAACGTCGAGCCGAACACATCTAAGGCGTTTTCAGCGCTCTAGCACGTCTCTATCAGAAGTTATTAGCGAAAAACTGTTAGATTCTGTTCGTGACCTGAGATGACCTCGGGGACATAACGAGAGGTCACAGTTGCCATTTTCCGGTTCAGTGTGTCCATTTTACCTACATCTCGATGTTTGAGAGTGTCTAGAATAGCGTTCGTGCAAAACAGACGCTTTTCAATTTTCTCCCATTGACTTATACCTAATGGAGAGGTCGCAAAATTGACCTGACCTTAGGTCACCGATATCAAAATTCCGAGATGAACATTTATAGATAATATTGCTCTTATCAATCGCTGAAAGTTTCAAGGCAATCGATCAATCGGTGTAGCTATGACGAGCATTCTTATTTTTTCTGAGGTGAGGTCACTTGTAGAGGTGTCAATTTCAGAAAACGTTTGTCCAAAGTCCGTCCAATGTCCAATGCTTACGTCGATTGTCCGTCCAAAAAATGTCCAAGCCAGCCATTTGTCCAAAGATGTCCGACACCTACGCAATAGTTTACACTCAACACTGTTATTTAATTTGCTTTTCATGTACCGTTACAAGCTCAAAAGTGTTAATCATATCGAAAGCTGAGCTTTCTCATAGCCAATCAATGTTAAACACGACTACTTTTTAAAAATGTTGAGGTGTAGCAAGCGATTGTCCAAAGTTGTCCAAAGCCTGCTGCCATTGTCCAACCGAATTCCGAATCGGACATTGGACAAAATCGGAATTCCGAAGATTCAAGTTCCGATTGACACCACTAGTCACTTGGCGTGACCTGGTAACCTGACCTAAGGTGACCTGGGTCTAAAATTTTTACAACATGTGCGGAAAAGATGCACAAACAGGTGTGCCAAAAACAGCAGGGGGGGGGGTTCAAACACCCCCTTCCCGGCCCGGCGCGGGTTAAATTCATATCACTGAATTACAATGAGAGCATTTTTACAGAGAAAACACGTCGTGTTTTCATGAGCACCGGACGCAGCTGGGGAGCGGGGGGAGGGTGGAAACAGCCAAGATTCTTGAACACCGGAAGCAGCTGCCCCTCACGACCATTCTCCCTCTCAGCGGCTGTCAACAAGCACGGTTGACTATTTAACGGATTTTGAACAACGATAAATCGACCTCAAACTTGATTATCAACAAAAAGCACCGATTTAACCCCTCAATTGTTATTACCCCAAGTAATGAAGTAGGTACATAATCACGAAAAGAACACGCTTATCCCAGAGATACGCATTGGATACGCACAGCAATGGGGTCGTTTGGATTTCCTGACCAATGACTAATGAGGCATATCATACATTTTATGATTTTACCATGCAGTCAGAACACTGATGTTGAAATGAAAATGAAATGCTGAAATTACACCTTACCTGTAGCTCAAGAACCGAAATCGGCTATTAATATAACAAAAATTGTTTTGCTCAGGGCAGTAGGTATTGCCGATGTTGAAATACTTTTCCTCCATACGTTTCTGCTAAGGATCAGGAAAAAAGCAAAAAAGAACGGTGTGGCTAGTTGTCACTGTAATGGTAGTAAAATATTACCAAAAATTAATAGGTATAAGAGACAAGTACCTAATTACGCAAATAAATCAAGGAAGATTGGAGCGGACTCGAGCCACGTGGCAGCCGACGATCTTGATTTGAAAAGCGGCCATAGGTTGTCATGGTTACACATATGGTAGCAGATATGCTTTATTTTAGAGGTATTTTACGAAGTGCCATAACATAGAGGAATGTCATTCAAATTCGCCAGCGCAGCAAGTAGCAGTGAACAGTGAATAATAAGCTCCCAAAGTCATATTTTTCTGAAGTATTACAGACACCTCAATCAACAACCGACCCCTTCAGTCAAGGTCGGTCACCGGCGGCGCGGCGGCGTCCGGCGGCCGAAACGGCATCTATTTCAATTTCGGTACTTATAATATCGTCGATAGATGTCGCTGGGGGTAAACGCCTGAATTCATACTGTGCCGCCAGACACCGGAAGGCGTTAGCGATAGCGATCAGCCCAGTAGCCCGGCCCGGGAACTACTTTCAGGCTGAGGGGGGGGGGGGCACACTTGATACCTACTTCCCGGAAGCTCGGGTACCCCCAAGTCTAGTTTTCACCGGTTTGCCCCCACCGGCCGAGGTTTAATGGGGCCCCCATATTTTTTTCGCGATAGCTCGTTTTTTTCGCGATAGCTCCGAACACACTGGCGATAGAGAGCTGAAACTTGGCATACCTGACCTTTGATTCAAGCCGTATCTTCTTGACACCAACCGCATTTTCGGGTCAGGTCAGGTCACTGACCTACGACGTCATAAGTGAGCCCACGGGCGTAGGAACGTCATGAAAAGTGGGTGGGCCACCCTGTCAAGGGGCCTCCTTTTTTAGGGGGCCTCCTATTTTCAGGGGCCTCCAACTTTTGCCTCGTCCTGCTGGCTGCTTTCAAGTATGACCTCCAAATCTAGCTTCTGAGCTCGGGCAGATGTACCCAGGGGCGTAACCGCTTAAGCGAACAGTGCGGAAAGTCCGCGCACCATTTTTAAAACTTATTCCCCCTCCGATTTTTTTTAGAATCTATTTGCCGCAAACGGCGCATGACCCCTGAAAACCCTTACACAAATGTCTTCCTCGTTTCCCAGGTTCCCCCATTAGCTTCATAGGCGCCCTTTTTGGCATATAAGCGCCCTATGTATAGTCATCAGAGAATCCCTATGTGTCCCACAGGCCACAGTCGCCCCGTTGTCGCATACAATGTGCGCTTATCATAGACGTCTCTCTTTTATGGACACTTGAAGGCGCCTCTCTTTGCCATGCCGGCGCTCCTGTTTCTTATGAATGCACCCCCAGGCCCCATGGCATTGATCAATTGCAGTCTGCAGATCTCTATTGCATGTGGACGCCCATATATGTAGGCTTCAGAGGCGCCCCTCTTTCGCATTGAGGCGCCCCTATGGGCTTCATAGGCGCCCCTCTATTGCACGTAGGTGCCCTACTGTCTCAGAACCGCTCCCCTTTGGCATGCAGACGCCCATCTTTCGTACGGAGGAGCCGCTGTGGTTCTTAGAGATTAGACTTAGAGGTGCTCCCAGACGCAGATGGGGCTCTCGGAGTCGACAGTGTGGGACCTTCAGTCGCTGATGGGTGCCCGCCAGATGTGGACCCTCGGAGACGCCGGTATGGGGCCCTCAGAGATGCCGGTATGTGGCCCTTAGAGACACCGGTGTGGAACCCTCAGATACTTCAGTGTGAAGCTCTTACAATTGCTGGTGTGGAGCTATGAATGCGCTGGCTTAAATCGCTCAGAGGCCGGTACATGGACATTAGAGCTCAGTGAGAGCTTGTGTGGTGCCTTCAGTGGCCTTGTGGAGCCGTTAGACATCAACATGGTGCTCTCAGGAGCCGGTGAGTCCTCGGAGTCACTGGGGGCCTTCAGAGCTCCGAGATACTGGTGTGGGGCCCTCAGAGGTGTCGGTGTGGGTCCTTCAAATGTACCTATAGAGCCTTGAGATGCACAGGTGTGGTGGCCCACAGAGGCGCCGGTGTTGGGCCCCAGAGCCACCGATATTGGGCCCTAAGAGACACCAGTATGACCCTCAAAGGCGCCGCTGTGTGGCGCTCATAAACACTGGCGTGGAGCCATCACAGGCGGGTGTAGCCGTTAGAGGCCGGAAAGGGCCCTTAGATGCCTACAAGGAGCCTTCAGAAGCCGGCGTGGCATCCTTATGGGGATAAGCGTGTCTACTTAGGAGCCCTTGAGGTGCTCTCATGAGCTCTGTGGGGCCCTACCGAGCCGTAATATGGCCACGGCCAGTTGCCGCCGCATGACTCTTCGGACTATCATTCTCAGGGGCCTCATCTGCCTAGTTTGAATAGAAGGGCCTCTCAGACCATCAGTCTCATGGGCCTCCTCTGGCTAGTATAAATAGAAGGGCCTGCTAGACCATCAATCCTAGGGGCCTCCTCTGGTTAGTATAAATAGAAGAGCCTCTCAGACCAGTAATCTCAGGGGGCTCCTGTGGACAGTATAAATAAAAGGGCCTCTCAGACCATCAGTCTCGGGGGCCTCCCTAGAAAAGTGTAAATGTGGATAGAGGGCCCCCTCAGATTCATTAGGAGTGGACCTCTCTGACTATCAGTCTCAGGGGCCTCTTGTGGCCAGTATGAATATAAGAGCCTCTCAGACCATCGGTCTCAGGGGCCTCTTCTGACTAGTGTGGATAGAGGGCCCTCCCAGACCACCGCTTTCAGGGGCCTCCAGTGGCCAGTTATATGAACAGAAGGGCCTCACAGCCATCAGCCTCAGGGGCCTCTTCTGACTGGTGTGAATATGAGGGCCTCTCATAGGGGAAAGTGGGGTAAGACGGGCACCTTAACTTTGGAGCCATTTTTCGGCCGGTTAGAAACATCATAGAAACGGGAAACTGGGTGAAAACCTTTTTCAGACATTTTACTTTCATTTGCCAGAAGATGAGACTTAGACCTGATTCAACAAATAAACTGCAGCTATTTTTGCAAAACCTTGCAAAAACCCGTCTTACCCCACCCCATGGGGTAAGACGGTCACATGGGTAGGGCAAGACGGCCAGCTTCTTTCACCGATCAGCGCAGCTCGCAACAAATGCCCGAGATTAGCCGCATTTATACAGTCGCTCGTTGGTCTCAAGTGCTTCGGAAATGGCAGTATACGAGATTCGTGCAGAAGGCGTATGCTCCTATATAGGCCCTAGTTCAGAAGCCATGTAGAACCGTTTTTCACATTCATTATTCGAGAATAAACTGTGCCGAAGGAATATTGCTAACATGTCTGTGAGTATCGGAATCGAACATATTCTTATTAGAAATGCTTCTTTTTTCCTACAGCAACAAAAATATTTTCACCATTACAGACCCATTGGGTTCATAGTTGCCCGTCTTACCCCAAACTCAATGTCAGAAGTTCAGCACGATTTTTCGCTGTGGACAATTTGATGCAGACAAAGCAAATCCGCCGTAAATGAACACTGTTGGCATATGAGTGTACCACAAGTGATTGCGAGTTTTTAACTCTATAGTGCTGTACACAAAAGCTTGCACAATACATTATGGATGTTTTCAATGAAATGAGTGTTTTAAAGAAATCAAAATAAAAGATTATCGACTGAACACAAATTCACCAGACTTGAATGGTGGTGTGTAGTGGGAAAGGCAATTCTGGTCCTAACTTTTCTTGCTCGTAGCGCTATTGGTTTGGTCTGCAGAAGGGGTGCCCGTCTTACCTACCCTGACCGTCTTACCCCACTTTCCCCTACCATCAGTCTCAGGGGCCTCCTCTGCCTAGTGTGAATATAAGGGCTTCCCAGGCCATCAGTCTCAGGGGACTCTTCTGGCTGGTGCCGGATTGAGGGACCTCCTAGACCGAAAGTTTTGGGGGTCTCCTCTGGCCAGTATGAATAGAAGGGCCTCTCAGTCCATCAGTCTCATGGGCCTCTTCTGCCTGGTGTGATTATAAGGGCCTCTCAGGTCATCAGTCTCAGGGGCCTCCTCTGACTACAGTGTAGATGGATAGGCCTCCCAGACCATCAATCTCAGGGGCCTCATCTGACTATTGAGGATAGAGGGGCCTCCTCTGACTAGTGAGGGTAGGGGGCCTCGGCTAGACCGCCAGTGTCAGGGGCCTATTCTGACTAGTGTGGATGGAGGGGCCTCCCAGACCACCAGTCTCAGACATCTGACTAGTGTGGATAGAGGGGTCTCCCAGACTGCCAGTGTCAGGGGCCTCCCCAGACCAGTGTGGATATTGGGGCCTCCTCAGATCCACTAGGGCCTCTCAGGCCATCAGTCTCAGGGGCTTCGACTGACAAGTATGAACAGAGGGCCTCCTTGGATCCATCACGGCCCCTTGGAGTCCGTGCGTGGGGATTCGTGGAACTTATTTTTACGGAGTTTGTTTATTCTGGAAGGTGACGACGTCCTCTCAAATCGAGACGAGGGGCCTCGAGTAAAAAGTGGGTGGGCCAAAACACATGGTTGGCCCCCCCACCTCGAAAAGTGGGTGGGCACTTGCCCACCTGGCCCCCCCTGTTCCTACGCCTATGAGTGAGCCTCTGCCTAAAAATGTACTTTTCCATACGAACTTTGTCCCAGAAATCTAACGCTGCCATTCATTTTCACATGCAATGTTCAGAAGTGCCTGAATATCACGAAAGGGCTTAAAACGTCACCATGCCCTATACATGTTGGAGCTATTTTTGCAATTTGGGGGTCAAAAATCAAGATAGAAAGTTGAAATTTGGAACATCTTATGTTCTTATAGAGCTCTATAACATATATTCCGGTTTTCCGAAAATTTTGAAAATTTTGGATTTAAATAACTGTTTCCAAAACATAGGGGAGAGTTTCCATTATGCGCCTGCTTAAGCGGAAACTCTTCCTGTGCTTAAGCAATGTGTCTGGTGAATGCGGTCTCTGCTTAATAACGATCGATGAACATTTTTCTAGTTAAATCTAGCTCCACACTTATAATTAAAGTACATTCTATTGGAACAAATTAAGGTTTTCCTGACCCCTGCAAAAGGCGCATTTAGGCACAGCATGTCCTAATATTGCGCCACGTGAAATAATGCATTAAAGAACCATGCACAGTTAGCCCTTTTACTGGCAAGGGCGATAATGTTCCCCTGAATTGAATGTCTTTATTGGTCAGTACGGGCCCCTCAGATCTTCTGGGGTCAAACTCCGGCTTCTAACACCAATTATTGAAAGACCACTTTTTATAGCATTATAGGTACCTACTGTTCAGTCAATTCTGAGACACGCTGTAAGTTACTTGTAATTCAGTGTGTGTTTATAATGGCTTTCGTCCAAAACAGGCGCCTTTCAATTTTCTCCCTTTGACTTATACCTAATGGGGAGGTCGCAAAATTGACCTGAACTTAGGTCACCGATATCAAAATTCCAAGATAAACATTTTATACATACTCATGCTCTTATGAACCGCTGAAAGTTTCAAAGCGATCGGTCACTCGGTGAAGCTGTGGCAGACATTGAATTTTTTATGAGGTGCGGTCACTTCAAGTGATCTGGTGACCTGATCTTGAATGACCTTGGTCTGAAATTATTACAACATGTGTAGAATTGATGTATGATAAGGTGTGCCAAAAACAGCGGCGCTCCGTGCCGCCGTTTTTTAGATATTCGCGAAAAAGCATAGGGGGGCTGTTCAAACACCCCCCCCCCCCCAGCAGGGCGCGGGTTAATAAAAACAATTTCGGCCCCACCGGGCCACATCCGGGCGGGCGCCGCGGCTGCCCTTGACGCCGGTCGAGCCATTGATTGTTGGGCTGACCGGCGCCACGGCGGCCCAGCCGGGGCACACCGACCGCTGCCCATGACCGGCCGACGGCCCGCGGCACTGGCCTGTGGCCCGGCCCGGCCCGCCGTCGGTTACCAGTCGGGGTCGCCAGGCGGCGCCGGCTGTCTGCCGAGCGGCGGCGCGGCGCGGCGCGGCGGCGGCGGCGGCTGCAATCGATGCCGGGCGACCGGCGGCGGCGCGGCGCGCGGCGGCAGTGAGACTGTGTCCGGAGACGTGTGGCCATGTAGCGAGGAGACCGTCGCCGCCATGTCGAGGCCGACCCTGTGGATCGTCTGGATAGCAGCGCTCTGCGCGCTCGGTGAGTGCCCGCTCACCCCGGGCGGGGTTTTTGTGCCGTGCGGGGGCGTGCGGCGGCCGACTCGTTTTTGCTGCGGGCGGTGTGAGTGAAGTGAGGGCGCTGATCCGAGCTATGCGTGTCGGTAGGTAGGTAACTCGACACCCAGGTGCCCGACAGGCGCAGTGCATTCGATAACCGACAAACAGCAGCGTTTTTACGTCCTCGCACTCGGCGCATCAATTAGAAGACAGAATGAGTAGACGAGTAGCGATTTACGCTTCGATCACTTTCGTCATACAATGACATACCTGAAATCTCCCGGTAGGCAAAAGGCGTGCTTAAAATGATGCCAAGGTAGGAGCCGTTTTGTGGTGTGGTCATGTGGACAAGCGCGACGGCTCCAACATCACCGAGGTGTTTTGAATATACACCAATGCTGTTTCAAAATTTAAAGTTCCATACTGCATGAGCATATCATATGGGTGTTGTGCTTAGGTACCTAAACTTGGATATTAAAAAGCTACGAATTGAGACCTGGCTTTGTGTTACGTATTGTACGTTTTTTCCGACGAGAATTGATACCTATTCCTTCGTGCTTTGCCATAAAACATTCCACGGATATTGCAAACGACGAATTACTGAACTGGACTCTCAACGGCTGGTGACAATAGGAGCGTAAAAGGAGCATAACAGAATCGTTAATCGACTAATGATCTGTCTTACGAACTGCATTAGAGGCAAACGCATAGGAGCGAATTCACACTGTTCAGTGTTCAGTGTTTTATCTAGCTAATTAATTCGGCTAGTAAACGGAACCAGCCATGTTTTTGTACTCTCTTATTGGCTTGCAGTATGACATTGCAGTGTAATCATTAGGTATTCGTCAGAACAAAGGTGAGGTACTCAGCGCATATTTTCCATAGTTTGTGGCTTCCGCTTTCATTCTCTTCCGTGATGGGATTCGCTCTAAACCCAACAATTTCCTCGCATGTTAAGCAATATTTCGACCAACGCCCCACATAATTACCAATCAGCGTCAGGCAGGGACTCAAATATCACACATAGTCATCTGACACCGGTCCCACTCTCGCACCAGCGCATCGTGGCGATGGGTCGTTGCTGACGTGCCGCTTTACGCCGACGCCCCGTGGCGCGCCCTCCAGCTCGCACCATTGACCGCCAGTCATGTCCGGTGTCGGCGCGGGGACAGACCCGACGAGTGGACCAGGGCCGGACCAGAAGACAACAATCCAGACCGCTTCCGGCGGCGGCTGCAGCCGAGCTGTTTGGAGAGACGCCCTCCGCCGGTGGAGGATAGATTGGATGGGATGGGACACAGTCGGACTCTCCCCGCCGTTACAGGAGGGAGCACGGTCGGCCGCCCTCCGCCGGTAGATATAGAGAACACAGTCGGCCGCTCTCCACTGGTCGAGGTAGCTCGGTGACCCCTCTCCGTCTGCGGTGGGAGAGATGCAGTTGTCCGTTAGACAAAGGACTCTGCTGTTTGTTGGACAGACTAAGCAAAGTCGCCTCTGTCGGACGTGCTACCGAGAACCACTGTGCTAATGGTTCAGCTGATGGCTAGGTGCCGCCAGGCAGAGCAGGACGGCAACTAGTATCCCCGGCTCTGCGTCCGGTCGAGAAGAGGTGACGGCGGCCACTCGTCGCGGCGTTTGTTGCGCAACCGCGGCTGACGCGGCGGCCGGCGGCTCTCCCGCCGCGACGAGCCGGCCGGATGAATGGCTTCCAAACAAACAGAGGTGCCGACGCGCCGCGGGCGGTCCGGGTATCAGCCGCGTCCGTCCGCCGTGCGCACCTTCCAGTCACGCCCTTGGTGAGGGTGCTCTGTGTGGCTTCTGGAAAAATGCCACTGGCGCCGGTATCATTGGCAACAACCGGGGCGGTGGATCCATTTGCGCGGACGGCGGTCTATTTTCGGCCGGGTGGCTGCTGAGGCTGTGTTTGTTGTCCCTGAGAGCCGGAGCTGTCACCGGGAGGCGCTCTCCGCCGGCGCGCCGTTACGAATTCGGACCGCACCGGTCGGGACCGGACACACACAGAGCTGGTGTTGATTCAATCAGTCGCTCGCCGTCGGTGTCGTCAGCATTCCAAGCGACGGGCGCGGCGCGATGGAAATTGGCGTCTTGAGGACGCATAATTTTTTATCAGCGATCCCTATCAGCGATTTGTCGCAGCTCTTCGATCTATGAAAAGTTGACAGAAGTGGCGCTCCTTTTTTCGCTCTATTTCGGCTTCGGCAGTTTCGGTGACCCAATGACGGGAGCCACCGAACGGTACACGGTTGACGGTACAGGTATCAATAATTCCACGGACCGCCTCACAGTCGGCAAACCGCAAACACAGCCTCAGACGATGCGACAGTACGCACTAGTGATGTCAATTACGGAAAATCGGAATACCGATACCAAACCAAATACCAACCAAAACCATGGGGAAATACCGAAACCAAACCAAGTTGGGAAAATGAGGGAAATACCAACTTTTTACTGATTTCTTAGCCTCTTATACATTAGTGAGGGTTCATCATACCAACAAAATACCAAGCACATTACGATTGAAATACCAAATACCAAGTTGGTATCGGTTTGGTATCGGTATACCAAAAAGTTGGTATACGATTGACATCTCTATACGCACAATGTATGGGAAGGGCGCCGCCGCGACCGCTCACCCACCGAGACGGGGCGGCACGACTATGTGTTTTGTGGAGGCGTGCCTGTACTGTATGCAATGTGGAAGATATGAGCCATTAGGTAGTAGGACAAGAGCATGATCGAGCCGCGCGCATTCGCTGATAATTGACAGAGATTGACGATGGACTGCCTGCCACAGCCTCTCAGCGCAGGCCTTATATTTTGTTTTTCGTCCAATTTTGTGTCTGCGGTGATTGGTGGGTCGCGCTGCTGATGTTGGAGCTGAGCTTTATTTGGGCTGCGGTGGTCCAATCTGAGGTTCTCGGTCCCTGCTGATGGCACCATTGTCTCGTCCGAAATGGATGTGACGGCTGTCACTTGCACCGGCCAGAAATGAAAAAGATACACCTTATTTGTGACTGAATGAAATTTCTAATTAAAACGGAGAGCGTGCATAGTTTTTTATTTTGGGCTATAACATTTTGGTTTGTTTTGAGGTTATTTGTCATAAAACACATCAGCTAGACGCCAAGTTAGACGCCAATTTGGACGTCTGCTAAGTTAGACGCCAGTTGGACGCCAGTGGAAGTCTCCATCCATTTTGGGCACAATCATGCTGAAGCACTACGAGTTATAGGTAATTAGTAACTTGTCAAATGCGTCGTTATTTTCGACACGTGTTCTCATCTCGATAAGCTGAACAGTTTGAAGTGAAGTACTTTGAAGTGAACTTAACAAGAACGACTTATTTCTTAAATTCGTAGCTTGTCTAATGGATCCATTTATACATCATCTGGTTCTGAACTAACCACGTTCGCTCTATTCACGTGTTTCTCTGGGGGCGTAACGACTATCACCGCATACCCTTTTATAGGTAACCGCATACGCTCTATTTAGGTATTTCTCCGTGGGCGTAACACGAGGCTCTGTGTGGCCCCTACATATTGGACGATTAATCAAATATCGATAAATTATAATCGCTATCAAAGCCAATGAGTTGACGTATGGCTGACAGAAACGGCCACAAACTGACACCAGTGATTGACAAAATGGCCACGATAAACCCCCGCGGGCCATCCTATATCAGCTGCGCAGGTTGCAGGGGTCTTCTTAGTTCTTTTGTGTAGCAGAGAGCGTCCATTTGTAGCGACAGCATACGTCAGCGAAGTGGGCAGCGACCTTTATGGTTTCATGTTAACCCGCGCCCCGTTGGGCTCTGCCGAGCAACGCGCCCGGTTGGGGGGGGGGGGCATTTTGGCCCCCCCCTAAGATCTCGAGAACCACGCAACATAGCGACAAGCGGTAAACGGCGTTGGATAGCCCCAACGGGGAACTACCTTGTGACCCAATTTTATTGACCTAGGTCAAACCGATGACGTCACAGGTCAGGTCAAAGGTCCAATTTTCACCGTTTACAGGCATTTCAAGAAATGCGTTGTAAAATCGAGTAAAATGCATTTCATTGAAAATCATCGATGGGGAAATGTTCTTCAAACACATATTTTGCTATTTGAGGTCACTGATACCAGGTCAGGTCACAGAGGTCAGGTCACGGGGGGTCACAATATGAAATTTAATGAAAGTGTCGTGTGATACATGTTTTATGGTCCATTTTACATGACAAATGCGATTATGTGGGTCAGGCAGCCTTTGGGGCCAGCTTAGGTCACGTTTTGGTCAAGGTCAGGTCAAGGTCAGGTCAAATTAGGTCAAATTTCAAAGTTGATATTTTTGCATAAAATGGGTATCGAATCGATGCAGCTCGTCACGGGGAGTTCACTGGTGGTCTTTGTTTTGCCGTACGTGATCTAGAATCGCTAAAAATTGAGTTAAAAAATTTGACGTCATCATTTTTGAACAGTTTTTTCGCTATAACTTGGCCAAAAAACGAGATATCGATCTGAAATTTGGTATGTTTATAGAAGAGCGCTGGGACTATCACATATATCCCGGTTTTTTCGTCGGAAAAATTTTGGATTTTTTTTCTAGTTTTTCTAAAAAAATCAAATTTTTGATTTTTTTTTTGTCAAAAACCAAAATTTTTGAAAATCCGAGATAGCAGTTTTGTAGCGCCGCTTTTTGTCTACTAGACCATATAAAGAACTTTAAAATTGGTTGATAACTGTAGATTTGGTGAGCGTTTCAAGATTGCATGTTTTTTGCTCATTTTTGCTCGAACATGACCTCAGTTTGACCTCAATAACTCCTGACCTAAGGTGACCTAAGACTTGAAACTTGGTGTGAAGGTGTCAAATTGATGCCCGGGAAGGTGCTGAAAATTTGGCGGCGCTGCGCGCCGCCGTTTTCTTGCTATTCAGGAAAAACCACAGGGGGGGCCAAAATGCCCCCCCCCCCCAACGGGGCGAGGGAATAAAGCCACCAGTAGCGGTATAGTGAACGTAATTAATGTTTGTAAAAGGCTGAAAAATGAAGCATTTGACCACACAACCGCGGAGAACAATAGCTTTACTGATAATGGTGCGCGAAGGCCTAGATGTGTCCGAGAGACGAAGCGCTGTAAAATAATTAGATTGTATGTAGACTTACGAAGCATATACCGTTCAGTGTACAATGGTTATCACCATTGTTGCTGGAAAGTGCGACCTCAATATTCGGTTAGCCAAAGGACAAAAGATGACCTTGGTGTGATGGTTGATATTTTGCTCCGACCCCTTGAACAGAACCCGTAAATGACGTGCTTGCAACAAGCAAGACGTTTCGTATTGTTTTTCACTCCTTTTCTATGGCTTATCGGGGTGGTCCCGTTTTGGGTATCTCCCGCGGCCATCCGGTCACTGGACTGGACTGGGCGGATTTCTGCGGCCGTCCCTCCAGCGGGCGCGGGTTTCTGGCTGTCAGTCCGCCGGGCAGATTACCTACTGCGGCCGCTCGTCTGCCGGGCGGAATTCTGCGGCCGTCTGCCGGGCGGATTTCTCTGGCCGTCAGTCCGCTCGGCGGATTTCTGCGTCCCTCCGCGAGCCGGACGGATTTTTGCGGCAGTCCTTCCGATCCACCGGGCGGATTTCTGCCGCCCTTCTCAGTGCTCCTGTGCAGCTGGGACCGCCCACGGCAGATCAGCGTTCATCACGCGCACCGTTTCCGCCTACCGGGAGACGCGCCTCACCGGGATGAAATATATACGGCGCTCCGAGCGGGCAACCAAATCGACTCCGGGAGAATTATGGACATTTTATCGTATTTCCCCGCGGCGCTGGCCGGAAAAAGACGACGTCCGGCGCCGGTGCCGGAATATGATCAATCGATCAGAGATACCATCAGAGAATTTCGCAGCTAGAAGAGATGGCGTCTTTGGTAGGTCTTGCATGGTCTTGCCCACCCTACCGGCGCAGTTCGGAGCCGCTGTCCCCCAGGCCGGCGGCGCCGTTGGAAGACCCTCTGCCCAGGCCGGCGCCGTCAGAGACCTCACTCAGACCCCGTACCGGGCCGGCGCCGTTCGGCGGCTCCATCCATCAGTGGTGGTCTCTCGGCCCCACTGTCAGTGTCCACCGTTCCCGATCGGCGGCTCTCTCAGAGCGGCGGCGGCGGCCCGTCACTGTCTGCACGCTGCACTGCACTGCACTGCAGCGGGCCGCCTGCCGCGACGGTCAGCCGCCGCCCGCCCGTCGGCCGCCGCGGTATGGGCGTCTACTGGCGCCCGGCCACTGCAGTGGTCAGCGGCGGTCAGCGTCGGGGCCGGCCACCGGTCAGTGACGTCAACGACGACGGTCGGCGGCCAGACGGCGGCAGCGCATGTTCCCGCCGAGAACCGAGTGATGTTGTAACATCAGATGATATCGTGGGCGGACAAACCAGCAATGTCAGTCGATGTCAGATGCCAGAGGCATCTTCTCAGTGATGCGTTCTTAGTTCCTCTGGTATGGAACGAGCATTCATCATTCCCTTTTGATCCTTCGAGATGCGTGAATGAATCTTATTCAGGCTGTGGCCGCAGGTCAGTCTGTGAGCCAGGACCGGCCGCTCCTCCCCTCCCCCTCCCATCCATTAGGATTTCCTGCGGGCCGTGGCTGCACTGCCACACTCCGAGCGAGGTTCGGTTCGGTAGGCCGCACTTTCAGCAAGTGGGCATGCTATTATTATTATTTTGCTTCAATTAGATTGTAATCGCTCCGGTCGTTATCAATTGTCTCCCGCCATCAGGAGAATAGGTATGAGCTGTCGGAAAACTCTAGTTTTCCTGGCCTGTTTGCTCAGCGCTTGGTCAGGTCATGCCGGGAGATGACGCGTCGTACATACGTCCAACATTTATGGCCTAATCAAGGCGCCGTGTCACCAGTATGTTTGTGTATGCATGGGAGGCGGGGGTCATCGCGGGGCTGGTCATACGATACCAGCCGCCACCCAGACGCGCTTGGCAGGAGCCGGCTGACTGACTCATCGGCGTGGAAAGATAAAACACCGGCTAAAAATCTCGTATAGTGAGAGACATAGCAATATGGATAACAAATGCATACCGCTTCCTCAACTGGTCCGTGACCCGCGCTCCCTTTCATATAGAATCTTTCTGCGCAAGGCCATATACCTTTCTAGTTCTGTCCTTAAAAAGAACGTCTGATAACTGCTTACTGTAAACGCCGCAATTAATTACTCAGGGACCTGCTCTCATTATATCTAATATCGTGCATTTAGTATAATTGCCATTGCGCAAATGACCATGGCGGCATAATGAGCGCCGTATCGTTTCAGCTGAGTGGCGGCAGGTGACCCAGTTGGCGCCGATAGTGGCGCAGTTCCCCGTCCCGTTCGCCGCGCGGGCATATCTCGCGGCCCGTTCCCCTTTCAGTCGATTGTGCTCTCAGTAGCCAATGCAGCGCGAAATATGTGGTATGGAAATGGATATTGGTTCCAGCTGATAGGGTCTGAACCATAAAACACTATCAACGATAATCTGACCCGTTGTTTGAAAATGGTTTGAAAGAAGCGCCAACTGTGCGGTTTCGGGTTGCCGAATCATCGATATGCTATACCTATATAACGGCACACGAGTACGCACATATATATAACCATGTCCTCTCGTAAATCGAGGTTGATTGGATGGAGATGAAATAAGAAGACCAGATGCTAGACGGGCTTGATGATAATAGGTACTGTGGCCAATATTTGTGACTGTATCCCATTTCAAAAGCAAATTTGTTCCATTTATGTCTAATGGGTATGTTTTGGGTAACCCGTAATTGTGTTCTTACCAACAAGTAATAGATTAAGGAACAGTTTCTTCTCGCCTTAAGGAGCAAGACACGCATTGGCAAAGTGCTGAGCGCATGTTTTACATTTGCAGTGACATAAAGTAATTAAAAAGAACCGTAGATGGTGTGCTGCATTAGGGCCATATTTAGCGGCCAATATCATTAGTGCGGCTATCATAAAACACATAATGGCAAGACAGGTAAAACGCACCCTACACGCGACGCCAAGCTTGACAGTAATATGAGCCATTGTGAGATTTTCGCCGAAGAAGCTATTGAGCAAACGAGCTGACAGTTGTCTTGGATGAGTTGGTGGTTCTTCAGGGTTGTGACTGTCACTGACGAACGTGCAGAGGTGAAATATATACGAACCGTGCTGAAGGCCAGCGTTCAGTGGGGACTGTAAATCTTCGATGATGGCGATTATCACATCATTGCAAGGGATCTGAGACATTTATGGACCACATCACTCGTAGCCTTTTGCAGATTCGCTCAATTGAAACTCGTGAGAACCGGCCTGTGAGAAGTGTGACACTATTTACCATTTCAGGTGAGGCTTTTTCTATATTCAACGAAGGTAGGTGCTCAGGTAATCGAACTAGGCCAATCCACCTTATCAAGCGATCACCAAGTGGTACTGCTGCTGGCAGTCTATGTATGTCCTCGCCTCTGAGCCCTGACCCTGCGCCGCTGCCCGCAGGCGATGCCGTGCACGTCAGCCTGGAGCACGCCGAGGACGGCTTCTTCTACCGCCCGGCGGCGAGCGGCGCTGCCCCGCCGTCGTCCGGCGACGCTCCGGCCGACGGCTGGCTCAGCGGGCTGCACCTGTTCACGCTGCGCGACCCGCGCCAGCCGGCGCTGGTGCGCGCCGACCACGGCCCGTTCACCACCCGCCAGTCGGCGCCCGTGCCGCTGCCCATCGAGGTGGCCAACATCACCGACCCGGTGCACTTCCACGCGGCGGCGCCGCGCGTCAGCGCCCACCTGGTCACCCGCGAGGTCACCCAGGAGCGGCCCGTGCTGCGCGTACTGATGGCGGCCGCGCCGGCCGGCGGCGGCGGCGCGCGGCCGCACCAGCGCACCCTCTGCGTCACCGTGATGGTGAGCCGCGGCCACGAGCTGCTGACGGCCCACTGTCAGCCGGACAGCACGGGCGTGTGTCTGGCGGAGGCCGTGCTGCCGGCCGCCTGGTGGCCGCGCCGACCGTCCGCCCACGCCGGCAAGAAGCCCGTCAAGAACCAGGCGGCCGTCTCCTACCTGCTGAGCGCCGCCAGTGGCCGCGGCGACTGCGCCGCCGGCGAGGCCGGCCTGCCCAGCCAGCCGGTCACCACCGCAGGAGTGGTCTCCCTCACACACGCCCGAGAGGCCAGCAAGCTGTACGAGCTGGGCCGACACGTGCGGCTGGCCGTGCCGCACGGGCCGCTCTACCCCAAGACGCGGGTCTACATCCCCGTATTCGTGGTGCCCAGCGAGCAGGAGGCGGTCTTCGGCTTCACGCTAAGGTGAGTCGGTGGAGGTCGGGCCGATATCGCGGGAGTCAGACCTGAGAATGGGTCCCCACGCTCACCAGTGAGACCATTTGGCATGCTGGGTACCGGGCGAATCTTGGGAAACATTCGAAGTAGTAAGATATCGATATTGTTGGATACATATCATTGCATTTTATATACGAAGTAGGTATTACAGTAGCCGATCGACTGGAGAAGCAGCCTGAAAGGTTAGGCCAGAGCTGGCCATTAGCAAGGCAGCCGTCCGACGGACGCGTCTCTAATATTAATCATCCACTATCATGGGCTGCCAAGTGACTTGGTAATTCGACGCGTCTCTATTCAGCGAGTGAAACATTTATTAGAGGTTATGAGGATTAAAGTCAATGCGGGTTTGCTTAGGTTACTGAGAGCACCATTTATTACGAGCGCTGACAGCAGACTGGTGGTGTAGCGGCCTTGTATGGAAACTATTTTGCAGCGATACTGACCCAAGAACGACGACTATCTATTGACTAATTGGCGCCTAACATCAATTCAAAATTATCAGTGACTTCCTTTTCACAGTGATTATATCGTAACTTATCGCGCGTACCGTAAGTCTTCCATTAGGTTTGCGTGGCGCAGGGTATCACTAATCCTTTAGCCATACATCATGTATTCTTCACGCCACCCAGCGCCGTGTGACGCCCGCGCAGTTGGCCAGCTCTAATAAGCGTTCGGTGCAGCTGCCAAATATGACCGATCGCCGCATAAGTCATCCTCTGAGCCATCCTGCCGGCGCATCGGCCGTCTCGGCCGGCGCGGAACTCATTCGGCCGCTTCTCCCGCCCGTGAATCAGCCGCTGACGCGTCCCGTGGCACGTGGTGGCACGTGGCGGCACTGTCCGCGCTGCTCTCCGGCGGGTGCACGGGAGACTCCGCGTGGGCGCGCTGATGATGCTCCTCCAGACACGAGTGGGGCGTGCACGCCTCGACCGCAGCGCTGAATCAGCCCCTGCGCTATGCAGCGCTATGCTAAGGTGTTGCGGGAGCAGAACACACTCAGACTCGATGCTTTACTGTATTATCGGCAGAGGCCCAAACAAGAACCACAGAGCCAACCGCTCGTAACCACGGTCTCCCTGCCTCTCCCGGGCCGCCGACCGCCCAGCCAGCGCCAGCCCTCGACCCCGCCCGAGGGCCACGCGGCAGGGGCGGCGCCGGGCGCGGCCAGCCGGGGAGGCGCCACGGGCGGCGCCAGGCATGCCACAACGGGCGGTCACAGCCGCCCGTAACACCCCTCCCCCCTCACGGAAACAATCATACATTGAACAATGCGACACTTACGACACGCTATTTACATTACAACTATATACACAATCACAGCCTTCACCACCTCCACCACACTCATAGTCCCGCCTGGAACCTTTCAGGTGGTCGCGACACTCGGCCTGATCTGGTCACGTATGACATTGGCGGCAACATTCCCCTCTGAGCGACGCCCACATCACCAGATGGGCCAGCTCTCCCGAGTAAGTGCATTAGCGGCACCTCGAGCAGAACGCCATGCTCGTTACCACAGTCGCTCACGGGATCCACCCCCACGGCCTCACCACGTCCATTTGGACCACTCGGATCCTGAACTGGCTGCAAGTCGGTCCGACGAGGGATGAACTCCTTGAGGTCGTTGTGGTGCACGACGCGTGTCTTGCCGCGGACGTCCTGTATCCGGTAGGTAACTTCCTCCCCCGGTGTGCCTCTTCTCTCGACGATGGTCACCGGTCCTTTAAACGGCAGACCCAGCTTCGGTTTTCCTCCCACAGCGGCAGTGTGGTCTCGTACCCACACCTTCAAGCCCGTTGGGTACGCGGTAAAATTGAGTTTGCTGTCATGGCGAACCGCCATTCGAGCAGCTGATTGGGAGGAGGCTCTCCTCACCTGTGCGAAGACCCGCTTCATGTTCTTCAGCCGTTTGTTCAGGAAGGTTTCAGCTGGTATTGCGACTTCATCGGTTCCGTACATTACATCCAAAGGCAACCGAGGCTCAAAGCCATGGATCATGTAGAAAGGTGTGTGACCGGTGGTTTCGTGGAGGGAAGAATTGTAGGCCATGGCGTATGATCTGGTACTTTCGTCCCAGTCAAGGCCCTGGCTGTCGATGTATTTCGACACCATGTCTTTCAGGGTCCTCATGAAGCGCTCCACCATCCCGTCGCTCTCAGGATGATAAGGCGTTGTTCTAGTCTTGTGGATGCCGAGCCTCTGATATAGCTCACGCATCATCAGAGATTCGAATTGAGCGCCCTGATCTGTGTGAAGCCTCTCGGGAACACCAAGCTCCTGAACCCAGTGAAGGAGTGCCTCCATCACCGTTTCTGTCTTCTGATTCGGCATCGGGAAGATTCGTACGAACTTTGAGAAGTAATCCATGATCACGAGCACATATCGGTTGCCTCTTCTCGACACAGGCATCTCCGTGATGTCCATGGCTATTCTCTGGAAGGGTCGTGAGGTAACCTCGGTAACCATCGGTGCTCGTCTTTTGGGTGCCGGTCTGTACCGCCGCTGACACGGCGTGCACGAGGCACAGAAGCTCCGGATGTCCTCATTCATCCCCGGCCAGACGAATCGAGCCTTCACCCGGGCGATGGTCCGTCTGCGACCCATGTGCCCGCTCGATGGATCATCATGCGCCAGTCGGATGATCTCGGCCCGTTCAGTTTGAGGCACCGCCGCCTGGAACTGTCGACCCGAGGCAATGCCGATTACTCCATTCATGACGCGCACCTTGCTCCAGTGTTTTCGCAGCACTCCCCACCCAGCGAACGCTGCAGGCCTTGGCTTCTCCTTCCTCTCGTGTGCTCTTCGGAGAGCCGACAGCGTCGCGTCACTGGCTTGCGCCTGGGCGATTGGAGGGAGGGTCCGTTCTTGGACTGATTGTGACACAGCGACTGATACAGCAGCCGGTTCCTGCGTAAGCCTTGAGAATACAGCAGTTGGAGCTACAAGAGTCACAACCGACTCAGGCGAACCGCCTTCCGTCGGCGCGGGCGAGCCGCCCGCTACTGACCCCACCGTCTCCGTTCTATCTCCTCTCTCTGAGACAGAGCGACCGGGACACCACCCCTGGCCTTGGGCTTGACCAGATCGGACCGCAGACGCCATATCTGGTGGTCTGCGAGACAGCGCATCAGCGTTCCCGTGGGCCAGACCGCTGCGGATCCGAACATTGAAGTCGAAAGAACTCAGCTCGATCGCCCATCGACCACGACGTCCTGTGCCGTCTCGCTCTGCTGCGATCGATGTCGGTATGTTTGCCAGCGGCTTGTGGTCGGTCACCACTTCAAATCTGGCACCAACAGTGTACTGACGGAAATGTCTGATGCCATGAACGATCGCCCAGAGTTCCTTATCGTAAGTCGGCCATCTCGTCTGCTGCTTTGTGAGTGCCTTACTCTCATAGGCGATCACCTTTTCCTCATCTCCAATGCGTTCAGCCAGCACCACACCCACGGCAGAGTTGCATGCGTCTGTATACAGGACGAACGTCCCTTCACCTGTTGGCAAAGCCAGTACGGGAGGCGAGGACAGAGTGGACTTCAACAGCTCGAATGCAATGCGCATCGGTTCGGACCACCTGATTCGTCCCTCCTCTACTGCGGCGTCCCTAAGTGGCTTTGTAATCGCGGCATACCCCTGAATAAACCGCGCGTAGTACCCGCACAGGCCTAAGAAGCTTTTCATCTCCTCCTCAGATGACGGCTGCGGCCAGGCCAGGACCTTGTCCACGTTATGCGGATCTGGACGTATCCCTTCCTCGGAGACGAGATGTCCAAGGAAAGTCACCTCCTTGCGTGCGAATCGACATTTCTGTGCCTTTAGCTTCAGCCCGGCTTGCTGAATCCTCAGGAGTACCTCCTGCAGGGTAGCCAGATGTTCTTCCTCGGTCCTGTTGAACAAGATGACGTCATCCAAGTACACCAAACAGCTTTTGGTGTCAAGGCCTGCGAGAATCAGTTCCATCATCTTCTGGAAAGTGCCGCTGGCGTTCTTGAGACCCATTGCCATGACTCTGAACTGATGGAGGCCTTTTCCAGTCGAAAATGCCGTCTTCTCTCGATCTTCAGCCGCCAGTTCAACCTGCCAATACCCTGTGGCCATGTCCAGCGTGGTAAACCACCTCGCCCTTGACAGGGTATCGAGCGAGTCGTCGATTCGTGGGAGCGGCATGGCGAAGCCCTTCGTCACTGCGTTCACAGCCCTCAGGTCGACGCAGAAGCGGAAGGATCCATCTTTCTTGCGCACCAACACGACCGGCGAACACCACGGACTTTCGCTTTCCTCAATGACACCATCCTGTAACATCTTTTCTTTTTGTTTCTCTACCTGGTCTCGGACTTTCATGGGTATCCGTCGTGGACGTTGTTTGACTGGGACTGCATCCCCCGTGTCAATCCTGTGTTTTGTCACACCTGTACGACCAATGTCTCCCGGTCTTTTACTGAAGACGTCACTGTAGGTCTCAAATAAACCCCGTAGTTTGTTACGACCTCTCTCACTCAAGTCTGTCAGTTCTGGTGACAGGGCTTGCTGCACCTCCGGTTCCACCTCTCCAGGATCATGAGATGGATTACCTCCATCTCCACAGCTCGCCACATTGCAATCGGCACAGTCTGCCCCGGGACACAAAACACACAGGGCGTCTTCACCGCCCCCAAACGCAAGGAACGTCCCGACATCAGAGCCCTTCAAGAGACGGACGCCCTCCGCTCCGACATTCGTCAACCGGATAGGTATGGTGCCATTGGAGGCGATCACCACCACAGCCCGTGGAATCAATAGATCCTCACGCTCCGCCGTGCGGCTTGGCTCCATCATCCCACTTACCGAGCCTGCTGACGTCACAAAAGGTCCCTGGCCATCAAGTCGCTGCACCACTGCTGCTACCGTTGTTACCGAACGACCTGGTAGTGTTACTGCATCGCCAAGAATGACTCTAGCCCGCGGGGGACGGATCTCAGGGTATGTTGGAA